TACAGTACACATAAAAAATAATATTAATCTTAAAGTTTAAATTTTGTTTATTTAACATTGATACAGGTATGCGATTCGCGTTGATGGAAGTCAAAATAGGACTAACGAAAATCATATCGAAATTCGAAGTAAGATCATGCAAGAATACACAATTTCCGATCAAAATAAGGCTGAGATCCATGTTACTCAAACCAAAGGATCCGATCCTTTTGATGTTCAAAAAAATTGAATGATTATATTTATTTAATTACCGGTATACCTAATAGCACCTATAATGTTTTCGCTATATAATTTAAATTTAATTTAATTCATTTAGATCAGTTTAAAGTAAATATCATATATTATCGGACTAACTATATAACACAAAATCGAAATATCATTAAATAAAATCAGTATTTTTTTCTAAACACCGTTTACATTTTCATCACTTTTAGATAGTTATGTAGAGCTACTTTATAATTTGTACGTCATTACGTTATTGCATAGGCTGTAATTTCTAAGGTAAAAGCTCTTTAGAAAAAAAGTATATCGAGTTCTTGAACTTAAAAGTAATAATACCTAGGTAAGTATTACCAATGGCGGATAGTTCTACTGGGATACCGGGCAATTCCCGTGGGCCCCTTTCGTATTTCGGCAATGGGGCTTTTTAATATTATAATATTTCAATGAAAATTTGAAATATAAAATTAATAATAATATAATCTTATAACTGTTACTATTCTGTGGTCTTTTATAAAAGATTTCTTATTAACCCGTAGCCGCCGCGCTGTCACTTTGTGACTGTTAAGATGGGTAATAACTCACAAATATGTTGTTGTAGATACAATTCAAAAACAATAGAAATGTACTACTTCGTCTTATTGATGTGTTAGAGTTAATTGGAAAGCGCGGATTAAATTATAGAGGTAAAACAAACGAGGCTGCTTATTCACTCGATCCTTCCTTAGACCATGGGAATTTTTTGAAAAAACCTTTACTTATTAATAATTATGATTCCTTGCTTAAATCCCATTTGGATAAAGATGCAGAAAAAAGTTTAAAATGTCATAATGCAGGAGCCCAACAAGAAGGAGGTCAAGTTACTTTTTTATCAGAAACTACAATCAATTATTTTCTTGAAATTATTGCTTACAAATATAAAATTTACCATTTATAATGAAGTAAAAGATGCTGTAATATATTCTGTGTAGTTCGATTCAAAACGGGATATATCTGTTATAGATCAATGCTCAATAATATTAAGATACGTAAATGGTACATTCGTTTTCGAAAGATTAATCTGTATGGTAAAGTATAGCTCAAGTAAAGGCTTCGATTTTTTTGATTTACTCTTAAATGTTCTCAAGATATGAATATACTTACATGAGTATAGACTCTATTGGGAACGCAACAAATTGAGCTGCAAATATGCAAAGAGTTTTAATGGATTTTCCGCGAAATTGAGCGATGCAGCGGTTGAACAAATACACGAATGGTGCTATGCACATGTATTAAATGTAGCAATTAGTGATTTACAAGCAAAATTATCCAATATATTTCTTTGTTTGGTATCTTGCAACAATGAGTAGTGTTTATACGTGATTCATATAAACGTATGGATATATTGACGACCGAAAATTTCACAAAAAGTATATTAATATATAAAAAAAAAAAAAACGAATGTAGAGCTTTTTCAAAATTGATTCTGAAGACATCATTAATAAATTAGGAACTAAGAGCCCAATATTTGGTAGAATGTTATTATATTAAAATTTAAATTTAAATAAATGATTTTTAAAATCTGTTTTGTTATACATTGCTTTATTTTGATATGGTTCCTAATAAAATTTAAGAAGGTATAATTGCTACCTATATATTATATCAAAATAAAACCTGTTGGTACCCGTGATTAAGATCGCATGAATGTCCTTGACCAATTTGGATTATTACGCACATTTACATAATATCTACCTACGAACTACCTAGGTACTTATTGACTACTCTTATTGTATCTAGGTGTACCTAGGTAGTTTCTCCTATTAGTTATTAGTCTAATATATTATTAGATGTGACTAAAGACCGAATTTATATGTTTTTACATATTGTTACTGAGTGTATGCAGTCTTATGAGAGAAAGAAATGTTGACGATTCGTTCAATTCTGAGTTAGTAGGAAAACGTTTTTTTTGAGCATCTCCGATTTTTTTCTTTTGGATCATTTTGATAAAAAGGTTTAGGCCAGTCTCACATGGACGCGCGTTAGCACGCCACAAAACGCGCGTTGCACAGAAATGTTCTAGTCAAATATACATCGAAATGCTGTATCAAAATTCGGTCGTTCGCATCGAAACGCGCGTGTCAACTGAACGGTCCGACAATGTTACATGGAATTTCAATCCGCGCTGTCACGCGGAAATAGATTCTCGCGTCGTCATCGCGATCGACGCCCGCATACGCGCGTCATGTGAACGATGTACGAGAAACCCGTGTTCCATGTGAACCTAGCCTTAGCGTTTAGTGTCTACCTATTATAAGTTGCGGTTCACTAAACAAGACGGTGGCTAATCTGCAACGCTGGCAGTTATTTGCATACTGATAATAACATTAACGTATTTGTTTATCATTAAACATTATCGACTATTCAAATTTTCAAATATTCTGTTTGCACTTTTTCAATCACGTGTAACGTGATTTGTAAGTTTTTAAAAAACAAATCACCTATATTGTTATATTATTTATATTATATTCTCATTCTTACTTAACTGTACTATTATTATATTTTAATAAACAAGTATCACCAATAATTTATGGAATGTGTGGTACAACGTTTTGATTTTCAAATGTCCTATTGAAGTGTAAATAAATAATAGTGATAGAATTTTTAATTCTCAGCCGTTGTCCGTTGACGAAATATTCATATTGTAAGTTTGTTGCCGTTTTAATGGTAGGGGAAGGCGGTGGACCCATAGACTTATACACTTAGTTGGGTTAGCTTAGATTATAGATCTATGTGTGGACGGTGGACCACTTCTATTCAACGACGCTACATTACCCTTAGGTAACAAGGAAATGGATTGGTCACTCTTAGAGAGCTTATACTCAGCAGTCATGTGAAGTACTTGAGTAAAAGTAAGTATTCAGATACTTTTTAAAAACTCAAATAGGTATTTTAAATACACTAGAAAAAAGTGCTTGGGCACAATATTTGAATATTTTTTTGAATGCATCTGTATTTAAAATCAAATACTATATTTAAATACTTTTTACAGGAACATAAATTTAAATAAAATTATTCAAATGTGACAACAATTTTAGTTTTAGATGGATCGCCGCGTTTCGCATGTTATATAGTATATTATAATACAATTGGAAATATCTTTACTTGAATTACACTATAATATAAAACATAACGAAATAATATATTATATCTAAACATTATACATTGCATTTGGTTATTCCTGATAATCGGGCCTTTTATTGTCGCAATTCGCAGAATATGGTTGAATAAGATTATAACTTTGCACTAATGTCATAAAAATTTTAAATTTTATTCCTTCGCAGTTTATAATATAATATTATTATAATAGAATCATGTAATTTTTAATTAAATTTTAATTATGATTAAAATCGAATAATAATATGGGTAGTGCTAAGCTGGGAAAATCAAAAAATGACCTTAAACGACTTTAAATCAAACCTTAAATGACTTTTTAATCAAATTCTATCGTTTAATAATATCGGCAAATTAATATAAAAAAAAAAAAAACGGTTAATGAAAACGTATTGAAATGTTTCAAGCGGGATTAATGACAAATATATTTTTACTAAAAATGAATGCAGATACAAAAGAAATGCTGAGTAATTTACGGTTGATAAAGAATTTTATAAAACTTCTGAGTATATGGCGTTTTTTGTTTTATCTCCTGTTGAAATTAAAATCATAAGATGCTTCGGGTCCCCAGTTCGAGAAAATCCCACGTATAATTGTCCATGTGAAAAGCACTGTGTTCGAAGACCTACGCCAACGTACCTGTATGTTTGACCTTGAGCTTTGTTTATCGTGATTGCCAAAGAAACTTTAACAGAGAATTAAAGCCGTTTGAACGGAAACGGCAAGTCCGACGGAATCACGGGAATTCTTGGAATAAATGCAATTTCTCCTTTTGCCGGCCCCGTAAGAATGACGGCTCCTATAACACTATTCTGCAACGATTTTATTTGTCATCTTGTACCGTTACATAACTTCGGTGGTTGAAGATTACGTAATAATGTAATCGGAGTACCAATTTTTAATTTTAGCTTATGAAGAGGAAATCCCGAAGGAGAAAGAGAATTGAGAAATTATTGTAGATATAAATATATAAAGATATAGATAANATTCGTACCTACACGCCGATGTCAAACACGATACAATTTGACGAACAAAAAGGTCAGGTCGCGGGTAGCTGTAAACCCGCGGGCCGCCGTGCCGCACAATACGTATATAATATGGGTAGACAATTTTTTAATTTTTCAAGAACTTTATACTTATTTTTTATTGACAAAAGTGGTACTAAAACCTTCAGCAGAGTGTCGGGTACAACGGTAAAAAATTTCAGCCAAATCGGTACGGTGGTTTTCTCGGTTAGCGCGGTCGTAGAAAACCCCTTACAATTTTATATAATAGTATAGATAACGAAGTTATAATAATAACAATATAGTATAGATATGAATATTGGGTATACGTGTTGTCGGTGTAAGTGCGATATACTTCTCGGAACGCCGATATCAAACACGATACAAAAAAAAGGTCAAGTTACAGGTAGCTGTAAACCCGCGACCCGCCGTGCCGCACAATATAGGTACAATTGTTTTTAATTTTTTATGAACTTTTATGAACTTTTTTACTGACAAAAGTGGTACTATAACCTTCAGCAGAGTGTCGGGTTTCAGCCAAAAAAAATTTCAGCCAAATCGGTCCAGTAGTTTTCTCGGTTAGCGCGGTCGAAGAAAAACCCTTACAATTTTATATAATAGTATGGATTAAAAATATAATTGAAAATAGGAGCAAAATAATTGTTAGTAGAAAAGTTGTTCATAAGAAAAAAAAGGCCGTAAAATATTTTTACTAATACTTACATTTCGTACATTTTCCCGTTTTTACACTTTAACTTTCTAAACATATTATTAAGTTTTACCTGACAGCAAGAATAATTTTTGCATGTAAACGAAAAAATAAAGATGTTGATGATAAAAATGCTGAAAAGCGGTTAAAAAAATATCCACTCTTTTAATTTTTACTAATAAGTGATTATTTTTAAGATAAAATATAATTATGCATTTTGTTCTTTTATGGTATGAATTTATGTAAGTTTTTTAATTTTAGTATTTTTCTCCAATTAAAATATTATTAAGCCTTGATATGCCTAATAATAAAAAAATTACAATTAAGAGTTCTTTGTGTTATTTGTTCTTTATTCAATTTAATGTATGAGTCACACTGTAATGTGTCAAATAAAGCTAAATAAAAATAATAATAATGTTTAAAGAATGCAAAATTTAAATCACTTGATTTTTCTATTATTATGCATTCATATGAGACACCAATTGATAACAGCGCTTTCTACTGGTGAAAATAACTGGAGTAATTAATTGTGTCATTATTTTTGCCAAACTTATATTATATCCATGTTGTTTTAATTTAAATGAAAACCATATTATAATATATTATCATATTTATGTTCGATTACAACTGATTAATACTATTTGACGTAGATGAGTAATTTAAGTTATTGTAACAGTTTTTGTCGGTTGTCGTGAAGCAACAGTCGCTGTAGTTTGCGTAGGGTATGCAGTGACGTGCGCTATGAGAAGGGGGTAGGGGTTATCGAGAAATACAATGCAACTCGGTGCACAGTTACTACTGCGAACCGATTTTTAAAATAAACGATATTTAAGGTTAATTTTGAAATTTTCCATTTGTATTCTAATTTTTGTATCGAATGGATAATATTATTTCATAATAATATGTGTTATATATATATATTTTACATTTTTACCCGTCATAGTGAATTATTTCCTCTTAGAATTAACACATAATTTTTTCTTTAAAAATGAATTCAGTAAAAAAAAAAATTCCCTCTTTATTAAAATGAGGAAAACATGTAACATCATAGTAAATTCTTGTTAATTATTAATTTACGCACCGGCTATTTTTAAAACCACAAGCTACCACTGAATTTACGATTTATTCATGATTCTTATTTGCTACATCTCCTCCCGTTGATAATTCCTGGGTACGCCACTGAAGATGTGTTTATGAAATATACCGAATACATCGAGAGCCGCATGCCGACCATAGATAAAAGTATACTGTGCTGACTACGGGTTAAGACACGGCTTTAGATACAAATTCCAGTATCTAAAGCCGTGGTTTAAGATGTATATATTGATGGCACAGACAAAGCGACGTGATGCAGCTAGTCTGCACTGAACTCTATACCCTATAGAGTTCAGTACTCGTCTGTGGAACAGTGTTACCATAAAACCGTGTGTACAATATATTGAAAAATATTGTATATTAACAATATAATATTTGAAATTGAATATTAATTGTCCATAATATAAAACAAATAACTTTATAGGTCACATGACTGACGGATATCTCTTAGCCAAGGATGACTCTCTTCATGTCCTACTAGTGGAAGACGGAACACTTATTATAGTCGTCGGTCGAACACATGCTTTTCGAATGCCCCCCCGTACAATGCTATGTGAAACTAAATATTCATTAAATATACAAATTTCCATCCGTTTTTTTTAATATTTTAATCAATTGGAAATCTATAAAATGCATAAAACAGGTTATTATGCACATTTAGGAACCAAAAATGCTGTAATAATGTAAATATAATATATCTACTTACTGGAGAAGTTAATATTTTCACTGATAGTGTTATGGCAGATAATGCATCTCAGATCGATTTTAAATAAAATATTTAAACACGTTTATAAAAAGACTAAAATAGGTACTAGGTACATTAAAGATTTAGGAAATATTTTTAATTATGTAAACCATAACAATATTAGAAAAAGGTGCGAAAAATTCGGTAATTATTGTATAACGGTTTATGTATCGTATCAGAGTAACTCGGTAATCGAAAAGCGCCACCTACCTTGGCACGGCGGAAACGTGAAGAGGGCCACTTTAATCAATCTATGAGACCTATCATCGAGTATTATCGTCTATAGAACAATCACAAGAAAACCACATGATAATCACGACCATAAAGTCTTATGATTATCACAGTAATAATATTGCATTATGATTGCTGTATGCAGTTCTCACGAGTCAGGTGTAATACATACTTTTATTATTTAACTTTCACTGTAACCATACAATTGTTACGTTACTTATATAAATTATAAGGTAATTTGCTAAAATAATTTACCCTTTATTTACTAGACTAATACTGGGTTCGGTTTTTTTATTTACAGTATAATTCCGATACTTAACACATCCAGGATTTGTTTAGTGGTTAAGTCTGGTTTTTTCCTTTAAATATGGTAAGTAGGAAATAATAATACAAATATTTTTTTCTTTCATATACATACATATTAGATTATTGTGTTATGTATAGTACATTTAGTACACTTGAGTAGATGATCTAACACTGTACAGTAGGTACAACAATGTAAAAAAAATTATTTTTCATGTCAAAATTCAATATAAATATTGTACTTTAAATTTGAAGACTTAGTTATGACTTGAATTGACTTGTATTTTTTAATTTCATTTTTTTTTCATGTCTTACAACATTAACCATCAATAACCATAATTTCAATTTTAATGGAAACATTTGTAATTGCAATTTTATATATTTCAGTCTATAGCTGAATTTTTAGATGGCATGCCATCATTTGATGTGCGCAATTTTTCTCGATTCCATTCAGACAATGGTCGAAGTAAGCGTGTACCGGTTTATATATCAACAGAAGACACACCATCTGATCAGGGTTTGTAATTACTCTGTTCAATTCCAAAGAGTTTTATCCAAATTTTAGACCCAAGAGGAAAGTATTAATTGTGCTTTAATAGAATTTTTTTTTTGTTAGACATTTGTAATGTTTAAAGTGTTTCTTGTAACTTATTTAGTGAATTGGCACCTCAATTATAGCACGAAATTACATCCCTTTCCCATTAACATTTACTAAAGACATAATTTTTAATGTGCTAAGGTTATGTAGTCTCTAACAATACCCCATAATAATTTATCAAATCTTAATACGTCAAACAAATTTTATTATAAAATTTAAGCCTTTTAAAATCTTACTCTTATCAATCACTTTAAATATTATATACAACCATTTGAATGAAACAAATAAACAATACAAAAGTACAAATTAAAAAGGCAATAAATAATTAATTTAATATTTCCAATGGCTATTAAATAAATTGAGTATCTATTATACATTATAATTGTCAAGTAATATTCTTCTTTTATGCCTTCATCTCAACTATTTGAGAGATAGACACCCTTGTATTAAGTTTTTCCATTTGACCAGATTCCCCAAATATACCCAATTATATCTAACCACCTCTTTTTTTTGGCTTTCACTCCTACTCTTTTTGAAGACATACTCAAATCATCTCGGTCTATTTTCTCAAATTTTGTCTACTATCGAAGTCTGTACTTATTTCTTATTCTATCTTCTCTCGTCACACCACTTATCCACCTAAGCATTCTCATCTCTGCTAAATTCATTCTCTGTTCTATTTTGCTGTCTACCACACAACACTCCAAACCAAATAATATAGCTGGTCTCACCACTTTCTTTTAAAACTTGCCTTTAAGTCTCATTGAAATCCTTTTTTCACATAAAACACCATGATGATTCCTTCCAATTAATCCAAACTTTATTCTGTATTTCACATGCTTGCCAAAGTCATTGTTCTTGAACAAAAAATCATAGGTACTTAAAGCTCTCAAATGTGTCCAATACTTTATTGTTTGTTATTAAGTATCTTGTCTTGTATTTCTAAACTCATACTTTATATTGCTGTATAGGCCAATGAAGAACTTTATGTGTACTCAAGAAATATATTACTCACTAATTATTGAATAATGTAAAAAAAAAACTTATTTATGATGGTTTTATTGAGTTTTTTTGTAATTTGTTAAATTTGGAAAATGAAAATATAATTTTTCTCAAGCAAAATAGTGTATTAAACTTTTTAAATGTATTTTCTTATTAGTTTCTGAAAAATAAAATTACATAATATGTATAATATATTATGTTATGTATCATATTATAATTGTACAAATGTCCATAATATATTGCCTAGTATTCTATAGTCTATGTTAATATTTTCAATTGTATTATTATTTTTGTTTCAGTTATTGTGACTGACAAGACAAATTTGTTACTCCGATATTTACATAATCAGTACGATAAAAAAGTAAATGCATAATAAATTATTTCTAATTAAGTACTTTGAATCTTAATTTTACAATAATAATATTAAAAATAAACAAAATTGTATATAGTGTAATAAAAATGTAGCTATTTTTGTAGTTAGGAAATAATGGTTTTGTTATTTTTGATTTTGGTTTTTTTTTTTAATTTTGTTAAAAATAATTATAGAGACCTGTAATTTTCACAAAATACTTATATTGGAATTTTCTAAATATGTTAAAAATTTTTAAATATTTGATTTTAAATCTATAGACATTTGATTTTTCATTTGTTTTGGCCGATAAGGCATGCTTGAAAAATATACATGAAGTTCATCACAAGTTGTACTTAGTGGTTAATAAAAAGAACGTTTGGTATAATATAGTAGTTTTTTTTTTATATATTCTTGGTTTAGGTTCAAATATGAATGGAAATTATTAAAATTAGGTCAGTTTGCGTAATATTTTTCGATTTTTTAGAGTATAAATTGATCAAGCTAAAATGTTTGATCACAAATTGTTTTTTATAATAATTTGTTAGTTTAATTTAAATTTAAATAATTTGTTAGTTTAATTTAAATTTAAATAATTTGTGAGTGATTTTATTACAAAACAATGATGAAAACTAAAGACAATGCAATATTTTTTAAACTGCATGTGTATTAAAGTTTATTTAATTTAGTTACATATTTCCGTTTTTGTATTATTTTAATATTAAAATAAAATGTTATTGGTTATAACTGTATAATAATGCAATTGTTTTAAATTTCAGCATGGAGGTAAAAAAAGGGAATTGGTTGAAACACCGGAAGAAGATGACTCACCAACTAGAAAGCGTCCTAGGGTGGATTAGAGTGTTTTATAAAAGTACTATTAAGATTTAATTCCAATACTACTACCGCACACATTTCTTTTTTGCATTAAAAATCTAAATAATTAAATTTATTAGTTAATTAGATCTTTGTTATGGTTTATAAAATCTCTTTAGTTATACCAATTGTTTTTTACAAAGCTAAAGTAAATAATAATAATTAATTTGTAAACTTTCTTTGAATATTTTTTTTTATGCATTTACATACATTTCATTAAACATCTATGTATTGCCATTATTATTATTATTATATGAGTATTAAACTACTAAATCCTCTCTTGTTTTTAATTATACTCACCACCTATTTTGCATATTAGCATATTTATTAAGGCGGTATCCATCGACGTAAATGAGAGGTAGGCTATAGTGGACTTAGTCCCTCCAGTTCATAAGTTAGTACTTAATACCAGTGCCTGATTTAGAACAGATGCCGCCATAGGCCTTTTTAAATATGCCGTCCCTTTCCTCAGAAAAAAAATATGTAGTATTCATTACTAATAAATTTATTTCATTAGTAATTATGAACAAATCTATTTTTGTCAGAATACTCACATTTAGAATATGTAAAATCATTATTTAAATTTTGATTTATTTCGTGTTTTGCCACATAATCACAAATTACATCACTAATAATTTTTTTAATTTTAGGATTATTATCTCTATCAAATGTATCTGAATTTATATTTAAAGTAGAAGTTGTTAATTTATTAGAAAAATTACTTACAAAATTTGATGTGCACATAGTCATTTCAACCTTTTCTAAATCATGTTGATCATTATCAGATGTATTTAAAAATGATGGTGTAGCAGGTTTAAAGAAAACACTTAATTTAGGTATTTTATTTAAAATTTCATTCCCTTTATATTTTTTAGTTTTAGCATGTTTTTTATACTCTGAATGAACCACTAAAACGTTTACGTTCGTCACTTATATTGAAAAGAAAAGCTAATATAGTAATTTATAATTCAATATGCTAATTATTAATTATTAGATATATTATTTTATTGCCATAACTCGTAATATACATTGCACGACAATGACAAACAATTAACTGAAATGAAGTGAGGATACACAATATCCTTAGCCAATTTCTATAATTAATATACTATTTTTTTGTTTGATACAATTTTGTCTTAATGACTTTTAGGAATAACTCATATATACCTAGATAGATATATTTATAGTTCACATTATGAAATTGATTTTGTGTTATTAACATTTTCAGTATCATGTGTTTAAAAGTTTTACACGTCACAGGCCACAGAGTTAACCAATGAGTCAAATTCATGGATTTATTACTAGGTTTTTTAAAAATATATATTAAATATTATATAGTATTAATATACACAGTTATATAAATGCATAAAATATTTATATGATTTTTTAAATTTTTTACAAAAATTACCGCCCTAGACCAGGGCCTCAATTTGCGCTCATGGAGGTATCCCAATGATGTGTGTTGTATGATACAAGTTCATGTGCTTTTCACTGTATTCTGATTGACCATTGTAACCATTGTTATATTAAGTAACCTACTGAAAATTTTCCAGAGTTTGGCTGAATTCATCTTATCCTTATTTGGGTTATAGCACTAGCCACAGCCAGTAGGCTGTTATCAGTATAAGTTTATATAAATATATCTGTGAACATGGGTCCAGGTCAAAATCCATAACACAGTCTAAATCCCGATCAAAATCTTGACAATTAAGAATTCCCTTATGGGCTACTGGAAAATAATGGCTACTGGTAAGTAATAAGAATGTTGCCGAAATTCTGTAATATTATCCAGTGGCGTTAAATTAATTTTTTGTATGTATGGTAATAAATAAAATAATTAATTTATACCCACCTTCTACACAGTATTAAATTTAAATCGCGGTGGGTATAGCTCTCTACCAGGGCGAATTAGAACTTGCGAGGCCAGGGGCTAGATATCATTGCAAGGCCCTCCTAGTTTTTAACATTAACCTAAATACTTCAATATATTCAATTTATTATTATATTTAAAACGAAAAAATTAGGATTTACAAATACAAACATTTAAATAAAATTAATTTTTCTCGCTTTTGCTCCCGAAAATGTTGCGATTAAATCTTTATAATCTAGATTTTCACAAATTTCATTTATAATTGAAATGATAGCAAAGTAAAAAAGTCTTTCTTGAACCATAGTAGTCCACAAATAATGTTTAATAGTTTTTAGTTTCGAAAAACTTCTTTTTTTTATTTATAGTGATTGATATGATTCTCAAAGCTATAAAAATATTTGGAGAATAATTACAAATCATATTCAAAATATCAAGACATTCTAATGAATCAAGACATTCAATGAATTTTTTTTTTCATTTAAGGTGTGACAAAATATTTGTATTTCATTAAATAAATCAATATCGATCTATTTCTCGGCTATTAGTGTAGCAAACTTTTTGCGACTTTTAGTAACCGACATTAAACATTTTAGCCACCCTCCCCCCTCCAACTTTGTCCTACCACTTTTAAACTTGGATCAATATTAAGCAACCTATTAGCAATTAATAGAATTTCATTTTAAAAAATATAAACATAATGAGCATTAGAAATTATTTAATACAGGATTATTGACGAAAATAATTTACAGTGCACCTTTCCTAACCTAGAAATGCACATGTATTTAGTCTTGATGGTGTCAAACAGTTGTAGCAGAGATCGATTATTTTCAAAAATGAAATTTAAAAAAAACAGTTTACGAACTTCGGTGGCATAAAGTCGATTATGAGGTCTTGTTCTTTTAAGTATTTACCTATTGAATGTGATAGCAAATATGCAGCATCGAAATCTCGAAGATTATCGATGTATTACAAAATATCATTTATGCGGGTATCATATACCTATGTGATTTTCAATGTGTTCTCTCTAAACATCACATTAATCGAACTTCACTCGGAATCGGTTTTTGTTTGCGACGGTTTATCGTTGGATATGAATTAAATTACTCTGTATATTATAATACATTCCGAACTTCACGCCTACAACAGTGGCCCAGCGATCACGAGTAACACTATCATTTTTTTTTTTTTTTTTTGTCGAATTTAGTGTAATTTTATACGCATTTCCATAATAGTATAATGCATACCGTGCATGTAATAGGTATCCGTGATAATTTATTATATTAGATAGACGAACAAAAAAAAAAAAAAACAAATAAACCGTGAATGTACGTATTTTTTCTCGTTCAGTACGAAAATAATACGCGGCGCTTGTTGCCGTAGCCTCAACGACGACCGTCCCCGTGGGTTGACCGGTCCCGGGGCTCCTCCGCCCGGTGCGCGCGTATACGCATTCGTGTGTTTTCATCCGATCTGTCACCGCCGCCCGTCGCGTGTGTGCGTGTTGAAAAACGGCGGTCGCTGCGGTTTCGAACGTTTCAGTAGTCAGTCGTGTGCTGTCGCCGCTCGCGTGCCGTGTGTCCGTGCGTCTATTTGAAGATCCGCAAGAATCGTTGTAAATCGCGGGAGATCGTCGCGGAGATTCATAAAACCCCGTGCTCAATCGCGGCGCCGTCGCCATAATATTATACCGTTGTCGCTCGACGAAAATGGACGCTATTATTGCCGCTACGGTCCCGTCGAAAGTTTATTACGGTTCGCCGGTACGGCTCACGTGATCCCCGCCGATTAACCACGTAAGTTCAATGTGTACACGATTGACGTTAACGATTAATCCCTCTCGAATTTGTCGTTTTGTTTTGTTTTTTTGTTTTTTTCTACGATTTTATTGAATTTTATTCTATTAAAATGTCCACATTTTACCTGCACCAAAAATACGATTCTTCCTCGCTCCTGAATTGTTTTCTCGGCACACACACTATACCTATACACTAGGTTACTGGGTTGCAGTACTTGAAATTACCAAACAGTGTTCATTATTACCCCGAGCAAAACGTCTGGAAACAAAACGACATGCGAATGACATGTGTACATATACGTACATACCTATATTGGTATTGTTTATTTTATTTCGAGTTTTATATCTCGAGCTGAGCGCCCAATAAAGTTTTAACAAGCCCAAGTACCCATGGGCAAATGCCCCTATTGATCCCCTCTTAACACGTTAAAATTTCAACGATTAGTCGTGAAAATAACGAAACACGGCCCGTTATTATTGTTTCGGAAATATTATCATATAGTAACAGTTGTGTATAGATTTCTATTGTATTGAGAATTTTTTCTTGGGGTCGGATACAAATCATTTCATTCGCCGACCACAGATCCGTGGGGGGGGGGGATATCCGCGTGGGTTATAAATAACTCATATAGGTACCTAATACGATAATATTTGATACGATAGATCAAAAATAATTTTATTGAAGTTATCGTCGTTGCATATAAGGACACGAAAACGTCCGATCATTCGCAGGCGAAGGTAAAAATAAATTTCGCCCGTATAACTTGTAGGATTTTGTATGCGATAAAGATAATGAAATATTAATGATCTTAATGTGAAATTTATACGGTGCAACGAACAGTATTGATTTCAATAACATAAACGTAGGTGCCTGTTATAATACGATTGTACAATTTAAATTTCAAATTGCTACAGTGTACCTACCTACATATTATTATTATAATAAGTAAGTAGGTATACTACATAATATTATATAAACAGTGGCGTGGTTAACGATTATTTGAAAATCGGTCGTCTCTGAAATTTTCGGAGACTATAGGGGCGGGTGTTGATTTATATTTGCCCCAATAATTGAATAATTATACATGTAAATAATAATACTATTGATCGATAGTAGCAATAATAATAAATAATATTATGTGTATCAATGTTCAGTGTTTACTGTTTAAATAATACGCATGTCGCGGTTTGAGAGGGCCAAACCCAAAACGATTCATTATGAGATATGTACATATATATATATGGCTAAGGCACATTTTCGGGGGGGGGGGTGGGCTATTCGTGGACGGATTCGAAAAGGGGATAATCCTCGTATTACAATTTATTTGCACCTACGGTTTAGAAAAAAAAATTAAAAATTCAACGAGTGGGATTTCGTGTTGACATGTCGAGTAAGGAGTAAGATTGGGTAAGTGGGTGGATGGTTCACCGAAATATTTGCCTCTCAAAAATGTCGAATTCGCCACGCCACTGAACATAAATAAACAGGTATCTAAATTAAGAAACAAATTATTACTGAAAAACTTGTACCTATCCGTCACCTGTGCAATATAAGGAATCGACGATTGAGATATTATATCTACAATAATGTTTGCTGAATGCATGCCACATAAATCACACGCCTTCACATTTTCGTTTCGTAGTCCGTAGGACGAACCGTCGGGTTTCACCTCCAAACCGGCCCATCCACGTGACATTTAGACGAGTCCGAACACGTTGGGAATTTGTAATATCGCTATAATGAACATTTTTTTTTTTTTTTTTTTATATTATTATACATTTTTATTAAAAAACAAACTTGCACTCATATAATAAGTGCACATACCTAGTGCGTGGGTAGGTATGTATTCATACAATTTTTTATATTTGATTAATATTGTTGAATTGAATTGATTGTTTTTTAAACCACGTTTTCGACGTACAAAACTGCGGGCGCTTCTAAAGATTTTATAAATTCAGACTATAAAATATGTATGAGTATTGCACGTAGGCGGGTATTTGTCGTTTCGTTTAAACATTTGCAGTTTACGGACAAATTAATAATATTAAAACCGTTCGTTACAATTTACAATGCTGGTCCGTAATTTCGAAAACCGTCGTATTGAATATTTCATTAGACGTTTTCGTTTCTCCTTAACGCAGCTCCGTACCCTACTATACCCCGTACTGACCCGCTTCGACTTTGATGGGGAGGGATCCCACATTTGAAAACATTCGGGTCCTTCTTCCAGTACGCGGGTATTGAGCGCACGTCATCACAAGTATAATGTTATAATCAGTGTTGAATCCAGACAATTTTTCTGGGAGCTAACTAAGACCAGTCGAGTTTGTTTAGTTATTTAATAAATTATTTCCCGATTCACCCGCATTTAACTGGGGGGGGGGAAATAAAATTCCAGGGGAGGGCTATCTTCTCCCCGACGTATACCCGAATTCAACGCCGATTATGATAAACATTGTACACTTATGACTTATGGCTATAATATCACAGTCGTTGGTTGTATGATATAGACGCGAACGGACGAACGCGTAAGGCATAAACACGTGGATAGGAGAGCGCGTTTCACAGTGAAAACCGCGGCTGCAGCGGCTCGCAACACGGTAGCGGATTTCGTTTCGACAACGGCCGCCGGGATTCGATTGGTAATAATTAAGTATGGGTAGACAGGCAGGCAGGCAGGCAGGCAAGCAGGCAGGCACGTATATTATTATAATGTGACGCGCCCCTGCCGCGGAGTGACAGATGCGACGCTCTCGCTGTATACCTATTATATTATTATACCGTTAAGCGGAGGCGATTGTGCGCCAAGTCGGAGGAGACGGCGGCGATGGAGGAGAGGTGACGGAGCGAGGGGGAGAACCGAAAACTTGAACGAAGGTTTTATTTTTTTTTCGTTACGAACCCAAGGATATGCGCGCGTCCGTGTCGGTGTGTATATACCTATATAAATATAATATAATATGTATAATATGCGCAATGTACCCGCCTGCATATAGTGGGCTCGCCATTCAGGTTATGCGGCCCACGCACTCTGCAGCCGCGCATAGGTTAGACCGCGGGAGAAACTCTCGCGCATATTTAAAACGAATAATATAATAATAATAATAAAACTCACGATGCCTACTATATATTTTTTTTTTTTTTTTTTTTTTTTTCTATAATAATTTTATAATGTAACGACGAATGACGAGAGTTGGCCAATACACACACACACGCGCGCGCGCGCGCGTTCAATCCGCCCACTGCTAACGAAACAAAATCCAACATAGTTTTTTTAAACGCGTATACGTAGATAATGTTTATAGTGTTTATAGGACGGATAGGTATCGTATGTATACGCATAATATAATAATATTATATAGGTATACCACTGTGTGCCGCGAGCCGCGGTGTAATTTTTTAATTTTTTTTTTTTTTTGATTTTACTCTACGCGCCGCAATATTACGCGCTATCGTTCTGTACAATATTACGAATATTATCAGCTATGGGGTACACTCTGTCGCCCGAACAGTTGAATAGCCGACGGTGAATTCGTAATGGTATATTGTCGTATAATACGTATCGTAGTACGCGCGTGTTACAATATCGTTGTCCACCTATTATATTATTATTATTATTATTATTATTATTATTATACATTAGGCACTTGTATAATGATAATATTATTGTTACGCATTGTATATAATAAAAATACTGTAGGTGTATGCGTGTATATTTTTTACGGCGTATACGGGGTGTGGGTGAACAACACTTTGCAGCGTCGGGATATTTTCTGTTCTTCTTTGCGCGTCGACGGCTGCTCCTCGGAGGTGAAAAAATACGCGCGCGCTCGCACGCGGAAAACCGCCGTTGAAACGCGAGCATTTTCCACGTGTATACGATGGCAATGATGTAGGCAATCGTCTGACGGTAATATTATTATGCGCGAGGCGTTCGAAATCGAAATACGACCCACTTCGTTATTCGTGTATACTGTTATTGTTATTATATCGCGCGGCGTGTAATATAAAAAAACAATAACGACAATAATATGATGTTGTGTGAAAACGTTTTTTTTGTCCGGATGTGCCGCGGGTTTGTAACGTCGTCGTCGGGGCCTACGTGTGCGTCTCGTTATGGAATTGCTCGGCTCTCGTGTAGACAGAGAGAAAAAAAAAACAAACCGTGTGCGCGTACAATATTATAATAGTGTACGTCGTCGTTGTATGGGCGCGCGCCGGACACGCTAAACGTATACGTATTAATATATACGTATTATTATTATTATTATTATTATTATTATGATGTTATATTATTATGCATTTGAATACCGCGTGCGGAGGTGGTTGTATTATATGTTATGTTCGTGTGTGGCGGCGACGATACTATCGTCGCCGGCCGGCCATAATATTCAATCGTCGGTATACGCGCGCCATATGGACGCGGAACGAGCGCGCGGCTACTTTTATCGGGGGGGGGGGGAGGAGAGAAAAGTCGCGCGACGGTGTTTAAAACGGGGAGGGGGGCAACAAAAAAAAAAAACCCCCGTACGCGTACGCGCGTGAAATATCAATTACGCGCCGGAAACGGATGTCTCTCTCTCTGTCTCTCTCTCACTCTCTCTCTCTCTCGCTCCCGCGCTGCAGTGAACGTAACGCCGCGGCCGGGGCGAGCTCCGTAAAAGGAACCCGTGCGACGGCGACCGTCGCTTTCGCGGGCCGCGGATGATATTATCGCCGCGCTCGTACGCGGCGGCCGATGGGCCGGGATACGGGGCGTACACCGCACCGGTGTAATATCGCAACAGCGCGCGGGCAACGGGCGTATCGGAAGGAAAACAAATTGTTCGAAACGAAAGTTCCTTATAAAGAGATCCGCGCGAACAATCCGATTCTGGCGGCGCCGCCTTCGCACATAACGTCGCCGTATACAGTATTTATAATGTACAATCGTCTATACGGCACAATGCGAGTCGGCCTGCCCGAGAAACAGGAAACGGCTCCGTGAATGATGTTTTGGGCACCTACCTACCTGCAGCGGTTGGTGTACACACATAATAATAATACCATTAATGTAATTATGAAGTCGACGGCGACGACGACGACGACGACGAGGTGTGACGACTATAATATCGCGATGACGGTCAAACGCGCGGCACAATGTAAATATTGCTCCGGACGGTTATAATGCGTGCGTGTGTGCACGGGAAGGTTACAAATTATTGTATTTTATAGTGTTACGTGCGGCAGACACCGGCCGGAAGAAATTCGATTTTGGTGAGATTTCGTATACCCGTGGAAATAAATCACAATGTTAAATGGTATGCGTGTCGCCGAGAGAGGAACGTCCCGGAAAATGTGGGCGGACGTGAACGTATAAAGAGAAACAAAATACGACGCACAGCCGAACACATTGATGAAATTGTTATAAAAATACAATACGTGTAGGTTTATATACGCTTATTAAAAAATTACATTTATTCCCGCAGAACAATGGCTATAGTAATATAATTATTTATGCATTACCAATGTCATGATGGTAGGTATGCAATCAAATTGAAATGTGGTGTTCTAGATTGAGACTAATCGATACACAGTAAACGTAATTAATGTATTGGGCTGCTTTTATTTGGGCGAATTTCATGTTAAAACGTCATAATTTAAATACTATATACTATTTGTGTATCGTTTGGCCGTGATACCTTTTTCTTCGCGACATTTTAGTCAATTAAGAACCAAAATAACTATTACAATAGTATATAATTTTTTAAACGTCGAAACGAATAATAACTAATATTAATTATAATGGCATAATATTACATGTATTTAATTTCGAAAAATGTTTCAAATCAAGCATACCAGGAGCATTTGATAACTATGAGAAACACAATTACGCTTAAAAATAGATAATTTTTGAATTACCTACTCGGCTCAATGTCGAGGAAATCCTAAAAAAGCATTTGGTTATAATAATATATAAGGTATCCACACGATATACCGAACCGCTTAAATTTAAACACTAAGAACTTCACTCAGAATCGTTTTTTGTTTGCAATTTAAATAACAGCAAGCTATGCATTTCCCGCGCGTTTAAAATAATATCCACACCGTTATCTTGCGTATTATTAGTGTACGAAGCGAACACGAGTAACAACCGCAGTGGTTATAATTCGTGTTAAACAATATTGCTTTCAAATTTCAATAATTTGTGTTGATCAAATTTTGATTGGCCCGCTTAAAATACACAGACAATTTTATGTGCACGCGTAAATGTTATGAATTATGATAATGACGAATGACGATATAATATTGCTCGGCTAGGGTAATCGCATAAAGTGAAATACTTTTTAATCGACACGCGTATAATTTTTTTTCGTGTTTAAAATATTTATATTTTAATCTATTTAGAGACTGTGTAGTTATTATTATTTGTTTTAAATACAACATAATTACGACGGACATGTAGTTGCTTTTTCGTAATGTCGAATATTGTCGATAAATCGATGACCTAGCTGTACAACACTCAATTATTTCATTTTGAAATGTTGAATTATAATATAATATACCTAGTTAATTTCATCATCATGACGTTTATAGGCTCATATATTTGATGTACGACGTTTAAAAAGAACCATTCTGAATAAATAAAATGAAAGAAAATTATAAAAAAAAAAAAAATAAAATAAAAAAAAAGGTTGAAAAATGTGAACTATACCAATACAACATATACTCGTAAATGTGTACGTCGAAGTTCATACGTGTCCGTCGTAATTCAATTAATCTATGAAATATTAGCCTACAAATTTCATTAAGCTTGTAAGTGTACATATAGTTACAATATATTCTTATGGCCTTATACGTATTCAAATTTAATAGTCTATTAATATTATCGTTAGTTGTCCGCAAATAGTATTTTGCTATGTAAATTGTGCTATTTTATATTTCGAGTATAGCGTATATATGCTATACGTTTTACTATATGACGGGCGTTTTTACTCTTGTTATTCTCTCGGAAAACAATTTTTTTCGGTTAATAAAAACGGTCCTTCGTTTCGTACCTTAAAAGATTATTAAAAGATCCACGATTAGGAACCGTCAACATATTTTTTAACACGCTGAAAATAATTGAAGATGCATATTATTGTATTGTATATTACGCGGAGTTAATATACGCAGGTTACATTATAATATGGCCCTTATTATTTCGGATGGACGGCCGCGGCGGGTTTTCAAAGACCGTGTCGTGAATTTTTATTTTTTACCATCGAGTGTCACGTATTGTCGTTTATATAGTAAATTTTTATATTGCATAGTGGCGGACTCGTCTTTTAGGGGGGGGAGGGTAATATACTTTTGGTTCAAAAGTTATACTTTTAACTATCACGGCCAGTCCATCAATGTGGTGACCCCTGCATGTTATAGCACAACTTACTATTTGCAGAGGCCGTGATTATAATTTATTAACACTGTGAACTTCTACACAGATTTCTGAAAGAAATTATTATTCATAAGTAGTTTGATGTCTAGGGGGTGCCATGGCACCTATGCCCGTCCACCCTAAACGCCGCGCCTGGCACACAGGTATCACGCGCAGTGGCGTAAATACCGGATGGGCAAGGTGATGGGCGAACGCTACGGGACCGTGACATTTAGCGGCCCCAAACCAGGGCTCGGGGCGTTATTGGACAGGTCCTTTTTTTTTCCGCTCACCCGCCCTGGCTGAGCCAATGCGATATTTTGCCGCGGACATTAGAAGTTCTGTAGTTACTCCGCACTTCGGATCACGCGCCCAACTGTAAACGGTTTCCGGTGTTGCGGTTTTTCACGCGAGATTTTGTCGCGATTGCACGTCAGCGGTACTTGCCTGTATCTTCGAAAACTGACGAATTATTGAATGGCGGCGGCGGTGCTGAAAGGAAAAAGGACCGACTATACGCGGAAACTGCGGGCAGTCACGCGTGGGCGTCGGGCGGCACGTCCGTCGGCGATTGCCGTAGTGTGGTAGTTGTCGGACCACATTACAATACCATTAAATCGGACGCCCACAACAAAATACCGCCGCTGTGCGCGTACTCCGCGTAATATCCCCGCGCGCGCGGGGAAAAGAATAATAATGAAAAAAAAATAATAATAAACAGCCGGGATAATCACTTTTAAAATCAGATCGTTTTTAAATTCTATAATACACAGTTACACAATTTCACATTTAATATTATGTGACAACTGTGTATTGATAATTCGGTTCAAATTTACGGCATTTTAATAAACAAAATGTCACGGTCTTAACAACTACGGTGGTTGATTATTGTTTAGTTGAATTTTTAGTCGTATTGAATAAAAAAAAAAAAAAGTTCGAAATCGGGTAAACGTTATAGTGAAATGTCCGAGGGCAAAACGCGAAGTGACCGACCCCATTCGAACAAAACCGTGGCGTCCACAAATTTCAATTTTCCACAGTAAAGCGCCATATTTGTAGATTCTAAATTAGGCGAGAAATGTATTGGTTTTACAATGATTATTTATTTTTTTTTCACTTTTTTTGTACTATTTATATAATTTTTCCTTAGAAATCTTGCTTCAATCAAAACATAATATAGCATGACCTTTTTTGTTGTATTTTGGCTTTAGTTATTGCAAGTACTTAAGGTTATTTTTGAAATTTTCATTAATATTCGAGATGTTGGGGAAAACTGGTTCTTTAGGTTAAAACTGAAAATTAAAAGATTACAAATAAAGTTGTTACCGACCAAACGTTTTTATTTAGTTTTTGTTATTAAAGTTTTGTTATTTTAATCTTTTAATCCTTTTTAAACAATCGTTTTTGTCGTGAAAACGCACATTGTTGAAAAAACAATTCTATATACCGAGCTTCGCTCAGAATCATTTTTCGTTAGAAATGATTAATCGTTACGTACGTACTACAGATCAAAATTTAAACCACCTCTAAATCCTACCTTCTCAAATCTCACCTACAATGGTGAGACCCACCCGTGGTGCAAAGTATATCCGTTCGTTTTTTTTTTTTTTTTAATATTATATATAAATAACGATACAAAATATATAGGTAATATTATTGTTCCGATGAAATTAAATACGATTAAATACGTAAAATAAATAAATATAATGGCCAATGGTTTAAGGTATATTGTTGATTTTAAGAACTAAAAAAGTTAATATAGGTACATTTAGTTAAAAAAATACGACAAAAATATATTTGTTTTTTATTTTTTGGTACACATATCCATTGTATTTAGAACTTTTTCTCGAACACGGCTTCTTATGGGGGTTGTTTTGAAACAAATAAACAAGTATATTTTTGTCGTATTTTTATAATTAAAATTCTTGAATTTAATAACTAAACGTTTGTCCTTTTCGGCCACATGATTGCGTATGTTTGTCGATGAATTTAAGAATATTAAAAAAAAAAAAAATCAACACGATATGTAAATTGGCAACAACGTTTAAAATTTCGTTCGCAATCGTATACTCAGGTAACGTCGTATGCAATTATGTAGCTTTATAAAGCTATCACAAATAACGGACGTACGCAATCGTGTTTTACCCTTATTTCCAATAGAACCATTAGACATTACAGATGGCGCCATAAATGGTTGGTTTTCAGGGTAAAACGACATTTTATTACAGCAATTACAGGGTGATTTATAGCGCCATATGTAATACGTAACGATTCTATTGGAAACAATAATAACATCGTGGTTGAAAACACGAACCTAAATAATTAAACCACCGGTAACGCTAAAACCAGTTGGTTCCAGCCGCAGTGTTGTGATAACAGACGAAACGTTTTGCTCACCGTCCTCTCGTATACCTCTCGCCACACCGATACCAGTTCATTATACATCTTGGTCCGTGGTATTTTACCAAATAAACAATCGCATAAATTATAATATTACAATCATTCACCGCCGCCGGGTGGTTATGTGAACGCAATATAATACGTACCGTTTTACTTATACAGTTTGCGCTGCAATGTACGAAAGTTGTACTATATAAAATTAAACTTTTGAAAACATTGCGGGAGATTTTGAATCCCTCCCGACATCTCTTTCCAGATACGGCCTCGACTCCTCGAGTAGAACGGTTTCTATTATTAAAAATAATTGATATTTGTGAATTATGTTTTATCACGTTATTGCATATTGTATGTATAGGTAGCGCTATATTATTATACACCAGGACTGGGTACTATATACACGTATAGGTATATACCGAATGAAAACTGTTGATTGCCATAAAACCCCTCCTCACACCCACTGCTTGCGGGAGGGGACCTCGAGTTTTGTTATTAATATTAAATTCGAAATAATACACAATATAGCCGCACAGCGGTTTCGCGCGTGGGAAGGTGTTATGTCGTATAATATATAATATCGGGTATACCTACTTACAATATTATGTACCTATATAATACTTATATCATTTATGCGTATACGATATTAGAATACATTATGATTGCGTAGGTTTTTATTTTACAAACTACTACGCATTTTTTTTTTCTCTCGAGTGGCCCAAATATCCGTGAAACGTCCGGTCTCGAAACGGGTCGCGGCCCCGCGCGTCGTCGTTCCAGTGCGCTCGTAATCGTTCGAACGAACGGCTGCAGCTCCTAAAATAAAACGATCGAATCGTGCGTATTGCACGCGAACAAATTGCTCATCGGGATGTCAATTTTACGGGGGGCATAACTAATTAAGAAACAAAATCGAAAATAATGAAAACGTTATGGCCGTAAACTTTCTCGTTTTTCCGTACGTTTTTTCCCAATCATTACGAAAACTGGTCGGGAAATCGAAAAATGACTTGCTCAGTCCGCCGACTGTATCGGAAATGCGATAAAAAAAAAAAAAAAAGGTCTCGTGTAATTTTACGATTGGACCAATATTTCTGGCGTAAATGGTAGTTATTTACAGACGGGGAAAGATAACCAAAAAATAAGCAGACATCGTACAGAATAAACAATTTATAATATTATAATTATCGCTATAGTGAGATGTTTAAACGACTCTATTAGTCTTCGACCGTACCACGTTGAACGCACCCAGACCTCGGTGCACGGCGGCGCGAAATATTTTTACCTCGAATCGCCTATTTCATTTTCCACCTAACCCAACCCGAAAATACCCTCACCCTACCACATACCTATTGAAATTACGGTAAATTTCAATACAGTTCGTCAAATTTATCAAATTTCCGCAGACGAAAATTCTTTTAATGACTTCTGTTTTGTAAAAACACCTAATCATTTATGTTATATTTTTGAACACCGGGGGACCCACGATGACCCGGCCGCCCGTTCTTGTGTGAATCGCGTGATTCGATCAGTATACCTCCTTCGAGCCGCCCCTGCACCCAGTTCTAAATCCGATCACTGGAGTGAAGCAACGTCGTCGGTACTGCAGGGTATACTCGTTCGGGAACTTTTCGTTGCCGTTTTAGAGTAACCTTCGTGTGCCTATACGCTAACGTTACGTCGTCCACGTGTTGCTAACCCGGCGCAATAGACACGCGGGACACAACTGTTGCGATATCGCGTGATGTCATACCGCGTCGCAGACCTTTCTCGTTTGATCTTTCGCCGAGTCCGCGGGAAATCGTTCGCGAATACCCGCCGCAAACGCTACGGCGACGATGCGCGTTTGACGCCCCTCCGACATTTTCGCTGGATAAACGCCGCAATATTTTCCCGGACTCGCGTCACGTATGACGATAATATAAATACGTCTCCCCCGTAATAGCGGCCGTAATGCTCGCGTATATTTTATACCTACGCATTATATTATTATTATTATTATTATTATTGCGAGCTCTTATTATCATTACACAGACCCGTCGTCGTCGGCCGCCTCGTCTATTGTTGTGTTGCTCGTTACACGCAAAAGTATCCCGATGGCTGGACACCAGTCGAACGGCACCGCCAGCCCGTTTCGGTCCGTTCCGCGGAGAACCGACGACGGAAGACGGACGTGCGCGCGCGCGCGCGCGTGTGTGTGTGTTTATGTGTGTGTGCGAGCGAGCGAGACAGCCGAGTGATCGACACTCGTCGTCGAATCCGCGTTATTCGCTCGTCAAGAGACCGAAACCGGTCTCCTCTCCTGCGCATTCGTCGTCGCACGTATCCCATTGTATTGTAATTCGTACGGGTTTTGTACGCGTACGTACCCGCGCGTGTGTGTGCGCACACATAATATTATACGGGTATAATACGTATAATACGTATATAATACGTTTGTCGAGTGTTATTACGCCGGGTCGGCGTAAGGGGACCCCGGCTCGAAAAGCGGTCGCTGCGCCCGGTGTATAATAGTGTAATATTGCGTACGCACAGGATCTACGTATGTATATATATACACATATATACGTACACAATACCTCTCTAAATATAGGTAATACTGTTGCGAGCCAGAGGTAATACGGGTGCAGCGCACGGGGGGAGGGGGGAAAGAAAAAAAAACGGTCCGCTATCAATTATTTATGCGACGTAGCAGCAGCATCAACGTTGCATACTCGGGAAAACAAACGAGATTAATTGATTTTCGTCGGGCCGTCGGCGGCGGCGGCGGCGGCGGCGAGAGGAGGAGACGACTGTTCCTCCGCCAATATGTTTAGTATTATTCGCGGGCATTAAGGATTCGAGTAGCGTACGCGGCCTGCGGTCCGGAGGGCCTGTCGACCGACTGGTCGGTACACTTTTTTTTTTTTTTAAACTTTTTTCTTCTTTTTTTTTTTTCGTTCTCCGTCTCCGCGACGATGACGGACCGACGACGCTCTGATACGACACACACACACACGAATACGAGATATAATATTATTATACCGTATTTACCTACCTTTGTATAGTGTATACGCATATATTGTCTATGTACAGGTAGCCCGGCTATATATAGGCAGTCGCGAGACGAGTATGATGAGAAAAAAAAATATATCTATTATACACACAAACGGACGTCGTCGTCGCAACTGGTCTACACGACCGTATACTAATGCGTATAAATAACATCTGAAAAACGCGCGTAATAATGATCGCCGCATACCACGCGATCGTTGTCAACATAACATGCGGACCGCCGGTTGCTGCGCCGGCGAACGCACGAAATATATGGTTATGGTATCTTGTTCGCGGTACCCCGGACGGGACTCGGGATTTTTACTATTTTTTTTTTTTTTTACGCTTATTGAATCGGACGCGAAAGTAGAAAAAAAAATCGATAACAATAAAGGTGATTTGGCGTTTTTGTCGGCCGTCGCGCGACATATTCCGCGTTTGTTTCGCGTGCTATTTTTCCGTCCTCGCTTTGTTGGTGTTCTCAAAGCGCATTTTTGCCAAGGGCGCAACGCACTGTCACACACGGTCACTGTGGCGGATTTTTTTTGTTTTACACGTTTTTTTTTCTTCTGTCTTTCCCTCGGGCCGTAGCGTCGCACACGTCGCACCGGTTGTTTTTATTCGATATCATACTGTGTACGCGTGATGATTGCTCTCGGAACCGCGCGATACTTCTGATGATGGGTGGTGTGTTACCCACCCGTTACACCGACTATACTGAAAATGATACAAGAAAGTTGCTATAAAGTATTTGATCATGAGAGCTGTATATGTCTGGTGAACAAGTTGTTTACAAATACAAACAAAAGGCCTAGTAAAGCCAATACATTCCACTCTTAGCTTAGAATCTAAAAATAAAATATTCGACTAACGTACTACAATAAAAAATAATATATAATAGTGCGTACATAGTATGCCTATGTTATACCTATTATATTATATGTGCACACGAAATATTTGGGTCATTGTTATTTGTTGTTGTTATTGTTATTTGGGTTATTGTATATTTTACTGGACGAGCAAAGCGTGGTGAATACACGCGAGACACGGCGGTCTGGCCGATTTTGATTTCGCCGTGTAACTATAAAGCCGTTAAAAAAAAAAAAAAAAATGATAAAAACCACATGCTTATAAAACCAAATACAATGTAAATAAGAATGAAAAGTGATAAAAATAAACATTTTCTCGTGTATTATAGACACATGATAATATCGAAATTGAATGAGAACTGCAGTGTATATAGTAAATGATAACTATGAATTTGAGCAAACGACGATTTTCACCTATATAATGTGGAGCACCTCTTATACATTAATTTACAATAACCGTTCCGTGTGCATTTGTGCAAGTATTTAGTATTTTTTCATCGTTTTTACATTATAGATTCTGACCGTAGCGAGGGATCTATTATTTGTTTAATTATAGTGTGTGTGTATTATTTTGTATTTTTTCTTTTGCAACTTTTTTGCCTGAAATCCTGCTCCAATCGAAAAATGAGAAGAAACCTTTTTTGTTGCATTTTTAATCTAGTTGGTGAGTAAACAAGTCGTTTTTTGATTTTGTTTTCGACTAATTGGACTTCGATTTTTGATTGTGTAACTAAAAACTGCAAAAAATAGTAAAAAAAATTCAATCAATTTTAAGAATTCAAGTTCAATGTGTCATTGTGTAAGACGATTTCATCTTTCCAACAAAAAAAATAAATTATCAAAGTTGGACTACTAAATGAGGTGAGATTTAACCCACGTAAAGCATGATTTTGGCCAAAAAACTGATCACGTGACAATTCTGATTTAGACATGCCTTTAAACTTTTACAGTTATAATAGATAATATTAAAAAAAACTAAGTTTAGTTTTTCTTGACTCCGTAAAGTCCAGATGTATATTATACATACATTTGTCGGCAGTATATGTGGTGGTACTCCTATTATATTATATTGTTCGTGTAATTTCTTTTTGAAAAACGCGTTACTCGTACCTACACCTATTTGGGTGGACAATAACCGGTGTAGGTATTTTATTTTACAAAAAACAATGCACGAGCGAGTGTACACTGCTCATAAATAATAATACATTTATATAAAATATATTCGAATCGTCGGACTACGTTGCAATGCGTATACATTTATAACGAAATAAATAACAACGTTGTTATTATAATATTTTAATCACCCGCACTGTATAGCTGCGGGTAATCCAATTGATAAAATATTAAAATATACAATCTGTTTTACATTTTTTTTTTCTACTACAGTATAACATTTATATGGGTTTATGCACGCGTATAAGTAGTTACGCGTAACTAAAAATAAGTCGCACCGCCACAGCCTATATAATTTTTGATGTATCAATTATTATTATTCAATGCCTACTCGATTTAAATAAAAATCTAATAAAAAATAATTGAAAATTGAATCATTTCCGCCGTTTTAGTTTATTAGTCGAACACTCGGTGTACGTCGTGTATAATATAATGATGGCTGGTGTATACGAGGTATTATTAATTATTATACCTACATCAGGCAGAATCAATTGTGTTTGTTTGTTTTTTAAAGTCATTGTGTAAAATGTATGAAATCTTCACGTTATACATATAGTAATATTAATAGTTAAAATCTTGGTTGAATTTTTCTCATTTTCACGAGTACTATGTTATTATTGTAATGCGACTCTATAATTTCAATAAAAATATTATTAGTAAAAAAAAAAAAAAACTTGCCGGTAAAATAATCAAGTAACCAATTATAAAATAGAGAAAATATTTTTATAAAATGAAAAAAATAATAAAAATATTTAATTAGTAGGAAAAAAATTGTAAATCAGCCCAATATATTATAGGTGTAACAAAATGCTACACCGCCGTCGCATTACACATTATTTTTAATGTTCTTGTTATTATGATTATTATTGTACAATAATACGATAATAATTACTATAATCAATGATATACATTCGAAATTCATTCGAAATTTGATCACTGAATAACATAATAATTATTACGGACAGTGGAGATTTATCTCGTGGCGCCCGCAAGCTTGATTAACAACAACAGCAGCCTATACGGCTATACGCCCATAGGCATCCGTAGAAATTTTCCTAGATTTAATATTTTATACCATACACAGAGTAATTTTTTCATCATGAACTAGTAATTTTATCGGAGCATTTTAAGTGAATTTTATTTCTGTTTTTTTTTTTTTATCTATTATAGAATCGATTAAGCCTTTATTTTAAAACCATTTTTTAATTTTTACTCCTATTCCATGTACCTTACACGAGTATATGCCTTTGTTTTTCAAACCTCCCTATCTGAACACAAAAATTCTATTCTATTCTATTCGAATAGAGAATAATTTTTTCTAAAATGTCGGTATGCATAACACTAATAAATCATGTTTACCGTTTATGAGTTATAAAAGTTCAAAGTTTACACCGGAGAAGCCAGGAAGGGTAATAAATTGCGTATCTATTTTTAAATGATAAATTGCAGATAACTCAATCGTGGAGTAAGGGTAAAAATTAAAAATGGTTTCAAAATAAAGGTTAAACGATTCCACAATGATTAAAAAAAAAAATACAGAAATCAATTTCACTTAAAATCCTCCGAGATAATTGCTGGTTCATGATAAAAAAATAAAAATATCACTCTGTATATAATTATGAAAATTATTGTACACACAAAATTAATACCCTATATATTTATATGAAAAAAAGCAATTGACAAATTTACTTTTCTTCAAGTTTTACTGCACGCTACTATGAAGTTCAGTTTAAAACTATTGCCGTTATATCTCATATGCTTGACTAACGAAAGCTCGGGGACGGCTGGAAGAAGCGAACGGGTGGCGTTTTCCTCCTCCTCCGGGTTCTTAAACGGCAGCAGCGACACCATTATTCGTGTGCGATTTGTAATGGTGCACAACAAAAAATCACTGCATCACAATCGAAAGATATTATTATTATTATTGTGATATTATTTTATATTTAAATATTGACCCCGATAATGTGGATCATAATACTGTTTTGGCCGCGATCGTCGTTTCCTCGGACGTATTATAATACGTACCTACGTATGGCGCGCGTTCAATACGAGAATAATAATCCTCCGCGCGGCCGGACCGGTCCGTGTTTGAGCATTTTTTTAATATCGAGAAAGGACACACCTGCGTTTTATGTTAATTTCCGTTCGCCTACACCAATATTTTATTATATCTTTAGTTTCTTTACGGCCGAACGCTCGCCGGATTAGTAGGTATATAATATTGTACATGCATATTATTTATATATCATAATAGTAATACGTTATACGCACATGATGCGAACGAATAATGGGTTCCGTTCGCGATCATTCCGAACGCCTGGCGCCCGACAATGCGCGAGCAAAGACATTTTTTTTAGTTTATCGTCAAAAACGATTTTCTGACGTTATTCGTGTATAGGTGGGTACTCGTATTCTATTTACGTGGTCGGACCGTCATCCCGACTCCTATGTAACGCCGCCATTGTCATTTAATAGGCATGCCTAACATATTATTATATAGCAGTGTTTCCCAACCGTGTTTTGACAACAAGCTCCACACTCGGAGTCGGAGAACTTTCGGACAGGTCGATGTCCTCGATTTTAGCAATACTTTTTTTTTCTTCGAGCCAAAACTTTTGTTCGGTTTTGCTTAATACATTTTGAATTTCCGGTATGGATACTACTGTTGTTCATAGCTATACGCCATATTGTAGGTATGTCGTCACTTAATTGTGTTAACAGATGCCTGTGCAGTGGTTATTTTTTATCGTGAGCAGACTCGAAAATCCTTGATCGCGCAAATATTTTCAGAGGGCTCAAGGTTGCCAATAAGAAGCAGTATTCCGAATAGCAATGTCCATTGGTGAAACAGTTTCCAAAATACGAGTGTTCAAAAATCATAATTTTTAGCATTGATTGACTGATTGGCTAAATTTAAGGTATATTTTCAATCGATCTATAGAACTTTGAAATCATGAACAGAGATAGTGTTATAATTACGAGAAAATCAGTTTAACTTTGGCACCCGCTTAGATATCATTTTTTTTTTTTTTTGTAACGAATATGTCAAATTTCTTCGTACCCTGAACTTGAGCCCTTTTTCACGATTATGTTTTGATGAAATAAACTATTTGTAGGTATTTAGTTTTATGTAATTAAACGATTCGAGAGAAAATAATAAAACGAAAGTAATAATTTGTGTAATCAAATACAAAATAATAAAAAAAAAAAAAACAATACAATATATGATTACAAACGTAAAATAAATATATTCTATACGCGCACTCTTGTTTTGGTTAATTTATTCAATACGAGTTTTCTATACTTGTAATAAATGTTATTAATATTATATCGTACATTTTACACAAACTGGTCCTCAAAATAAATTATGACTTTTATTTGTAGTAACTATAACTAGTAATTAATTACGGTTATCTTTAAAAAGTTTAAATTAATTACATATATTAAGTATTGACATGTATGTTATCACTGTCCAACGACCAAGGACACGCATTTATTTAATGTATAAGTGAAATTACGTTATATTCTTAATAATTTTTTAATTTTTTCATTAGAAGCATAAAATAACGTTCATCCATTATTTAAATTAATATCAATACTTAACATAATACATACAATATATTATGTATTGCATATAGTATGTGTTATGTAGGTACTTATTATATACGATTAGACTATTGAATAACGTTGTTTTATAAAATAACTGGGTCGGTGTATAATATATTATAATACGAAAAAATCAATAAGAATTATTTATTTATGTGTTTAGTTTTTAAATGTATTTAAATTGTATTCATTATTTATCATTTCATAGATTCTCTATATAGTTATTAGTTATTAATTATTACGTACATTTTCAATTTGATTTCCGTTAAATATATAAAATAAATTTGAAATATACAACGAAAATGCATAAACATTATTATACTTCAAATATTTTATAGTGGGTGTATATCAATTCCGCCGAAACAACCTTTTTACCTGTTAAAAATCATTCGACTCCGCCGGTCATTTAAACATTTCGATTGCGCCGTCTATCAACTACGCCCATCATTTGAACGGTGCAAGAATCGCTGCACTAAATCTGAATCGTAGTTCAGTAAATAGTAATTATCATAAAAACATATAAATGTCTAATTTATTAATTGATAGGTACAAATCCTTAGATCAAACAATATGCGTATTTTTTCACCATATTTATTTATAATAAAATTCTATAAAACTCAAATATACATATTATAGTGGCAGGAAAAATATGGAAGGAAAAACAATAAAATATTAACTATAATAAAAATAAATATAATATATAAATGCCAGTTCTACATAATTATTTTACAATACCTAGTCATTTTTTTAAATTTAAATAGTCGTCAAAAATATTTGTAATATATTTCGTGTTATTATTTTACAATATCTACCAGTTTCTTTTTTTTAAAAATACTTTTAGTTATTTTTTTTTTACAATGGTTTGATGCCAATATTACATACGTTAATTTATCAAATTTTTTAATTAAATAGTCATGTTTGTAATATTTTTTTTTGCTAATTTTATTTGTGTTAAGTCTTCCTATTGTTATGTATGTATTAGTTTGTATTTTCAAATTCAATACACGTGAAAACCAAAATATATTAGATGTGTTTTAGTGAATTCTCTGTTAAGTTTAGAATGAAATGATTCGAAATTCTTAGTTGTTCGTAATTTACATGTTTTATCAATGTAATTATCACATAAATAATCACAGACTTTGTTTAACCTCTCATAATCAGGAACGATTGACATAATATCTTCAATGAAGCTTTCACTTACTTGTTTTGGATTTAGTAAAGACAAACCGAATATCCATTTTAACCACTGTCCAATTTCACTGTTGACATCTTTGTATTCGATTGATAAACCTATAATATAGTTACCGTATATATATAATATGTCATAAATGGCCATCTATACAATGAAACAAAATATTATTAGTAATTAGCATAGTTTTGTATATGCCGCTACCAACTTTGAGTCTGATGAAATATGCGTCAAATGACTCTCATTTGCGGCCATACGCATTTCGCTCCAACGTGTATACCTTCTTCAAAATCAGCAATAAGTGTAATTGGATTGAAATGTAAATTTTGGGTTGAGCATTTTTCTACAATACACCTAAATGCGCTAGCGTATGTAGTTGTACGTTTATCCGGCAGTAAAAAGTACGATAATGGAACATAATGTGCATTTTTAAAAACGTGAACAGTAAATAGTTGATACTAATATTTCGGGTAGCTATAAAATGTATCATCTATAAATATTTTATCATTTGAGCACATTTATTCTAAATTCGAAATTATAGAGTATAATATAATATTATTTACCGTGTCAAGTAAAAAATCTTCATTCTCAACAGTTTTTATTTTTCGATTTTTCATTATTTCAATAAAATTGGAAATATTTTTGGTAAAATTGGATTTGTAGATCGACGAGATCGGTACAAACATTGATATACATATATTGTTTATGTCAGTACTCGTCAATAATTTGAATTAACAGGATTACTTAAAATTGCTTTGTTTATAAGTTTTGATAGTCTTTCTAATAATTCATCTTTAGATTTTCGTTTCAATCTATTAGATAATATTTTTTTGTTTCTTGCAGATTCGGGTTCTTCTTCGTGATGCGCAATTTTATTTTTTACAATTGTCTACATGTCATGATCAAAATAGATTTATGCAGTATACTTTTTGTTGATACATTGCCATTTATGCGAATCTAAGACTTTTATATACGCTTTATTATAAAATTTAAAATTTTTTCCGTTCATTAACAATTACTTCAAAATTCATTTTTACACGGTGTAACATAAAACGCGCATAAGATTACAACCGTTACAAAATGTCTGTTAATTTTAAACGAAACCCTATTGGAAAAAGTAGACTTTTATTTATGATTTCCCGTTTTTCGATTAAACTTTTATTTATTGAACAAAATTCAGTGTTGTATAAATGACCGGCGGAATTGATATGCACAAATGTCCGGCAGAGTCGATAGCCGACGGAATTGATATTAAAATCAATAAAACCCCTTTATAGTATATCGTATTATATTACTATACATTTTATTTTTATTATTTGTACTATGGATAATTTTTGTTACGTTTAAATTACCTACACATTATGTAGGTATCTTTACCTTTACCTATACCTACTAAGTATTTTTACATTGGCATAACTGAAAATTAATGTCTTTTATCTCGGATAAATCTTTAGTCGAATGGATATTGGACCGCATTTTTTTATTTTTTTTTTGCTCACCAAAACACTTTTTTGAGACGGTATCACATAATATTATTGTATTATATGTAGCGTATAAGTATATCGTTTAGCCTATAGGCACGCACATGCACATTCAATTTATTGTTGTGTACAAAACTACAGAATTCACCTTTATATATACGTGCCGTTAGATCGTTTACTCGACTTAGACCCAAACGGATGTTCAATTGTGTGTGCGTAAGATTTCGAAACGCATTTTTTCATTCCAACCACGCACGTCACAGGAAGTAATACATACATGTATTTTATAATATAAAAGGACTTTTTTTTTCATATCCTTATAGGAATTCATTGAGACTTACTGACCATGCTCGTTTGTCCGATTCTTGGTATCGAACAGTCGTGTGCGTGTGTGTGTGTGTGTGATCCATATGCGCGTATTGAAATTCAGAAACTCGATATTCGTATGTGTACACATAATAACTATATACTTACGTAGTATTTGGTTTTTTTCTTTTTAAATAAATATATATCGAAACAAGTGTGCTAAAATTTAGCATAATCGGTCGGTTTCGTAAGAAACATACTTTACAATTTTTTAAAACATTTATATAAATAAACAATTACGCGGTTTAGACACTGGCGGTTCCAGGAGTGGCGATAGGTGGATCGCCCCCTTCCTCCGCTTCTGTGCTTTGACCTGTGTTTATATGTACATAAGTACGTCAGGAACGTACGCAAAAAAAAAGTTGTGGGGGGTGTTTTTGAAAATCAGTTATTGAAAATTAGAACAATAATGTATAACATTGAAATGGAATAAGTAAATAACCATACAAAAACCAAACTTTTCGGGGGGGGGGGGTATTTGAACACTAAATACACCACCCTGCGTACGTGCCTGAAATACGTATATAATCACTTTAATTATTTGTGTAATTTTATTCGTACCATGGTGGATACCATATTTCACTTTTTTACTGTTGTCTTATGGCATCACCGTCAACACATTTCATACTCACTTCTCCCCAGGTGATAAAGAAAATAAGTGCGATAGACGAATGAATATATAGTTACATTTTTTTATTTTTATCAATAGGTATGTTTTACTATAAAATTATTTTTAAAAGATATTACATTAAATTGATTCTCATGTAACAAAAAATGAGGAGAATAAGTGAGCTGTATATGTTTAGTATGTAAAATATTTTTGTCTCCCTTCTCCTTTGGAGCTTGTCAAGAACCGCCTTTGAGTCTTGGCAAGTGGTCACATACTCACAGTTTCAAACAGTTTTGTATCATATACATACATATATATATATATACTAATGGTAGGAAAAATTTGGATTTTCGAAATCCGAAATCCGAAAAATTTCTCTTAAGACATATTATAGTTTTAATCACAAATATCTACCTACCAAACAAAAATACACATAAAAACACAAAAATATCAAATAACTATTATAAATGGTCCAAAAATAACTAGAATGTTTTGAAGATTTTACCACGTCTACAAAAGGCCAGTATAAGTATTTTTTGAAAACTATAGATCTCTACAAATACTTAATTTCAGAATCAGCATTTATAAAAGGTAAAATGGTTATTGATGTTTATAAAATGTGTACATACATACATTCAACAGTCAGAATAAAAACGATATTTTTAACTATTCTTATTAAATAACTTAAAAATACGATATTCCCTCGCTATTACACTTTTTCAATTTACGGTCCCTTAAATAATATTACTTATCTAAACGGTATTCTGCAGTTTCACAACCATTATAATATATACAAAAACCGAAATATCCCTCCTGTTTATTTATACAGTACTTCGGTTCTTCCGATTAATCATATAAGTAGGGAAGTATTTTCCACACTGACGTTAACGCTGCCCTAATGGTTGAATATTGAAAAATCCTTTCGACAAATGATACATAAGATAATATGTTACTATATTGAATTTAAAACCGTCGTTGAAAGTTAAAAATTTGACTATGCTGCATTTTGCGTACTAAAAAAAAAATAAAAAAAAAAAACCTTATAATTTATGCAGTGGGATTAATGTTTACAGAATGTTGTTGATGACGACGGTGGTGACCATACTTGCGGTACTCCAACACACTTGCGGCCAACAACAACAGCATGAAGACGAGCAGACGAGAGAGACCGGTGAATGGAAATGTCCGGAGGTTCGGAACGTGTCGTGCGCGTGCGATCTGCCCCACACTTTGCGGTGCACCGGTGGAAAATCAACGTTCGAGACAGTGGCCCGGGCGCTCAGGAATCTATCCGGCACCTCGTCCATATCGTTGTTGGACTGCACCGTGCAGAACGTCGGCTCGCTGCCGTCCAGGCTGCTTGAAGGCGTCTCGCTTCACGGGTTGGTCGTGTCGTCCGGTGAAATCAAATCTGTGTCGGATACGGCTTTCGAGGGCCTCAGATCGCCGCTTCAGGCACTCGGACTGCCCAACAATCAGCTGGAGCGGGTACCTAGCTCCGCGTTGGCCATTCTCAATGGCTTAGAACGACTCGACCTGTCCCACAACCGTTTGCACAGTGTCCACAACAACTCGTTCAAAGTAATTTTTTTTTTAAAACGATTTAAACTTGGATTATTAGGACCCACTTATAGGTTTAGTTCTTTTCGGTGAACCTGATAGACTTCTTCTTCGTATCAAACTTATTGTGTTAGTTGCAAAATGATCATTAGTATGAATTTGGTTGGTTCGATTAGTGTACGGCTACCTTTCGTATTCCCGGTACACCTCTTATTTTTAAACAAATCTTCAAAGAATATCAAAAATGGCCTTAAAAATACTCTAACTAGACAAAATACGCTGCCGGAAACATTTTAAGTCGATTTCTTATTGTTACCGAGTTATTATCACCATTACCGGCTAATTTTTATCCCGGAATTCAACCCCTAATGGTTTCCAATTATAGTACAAAAAACCAAGGGTAATCAGTAATCATTAACCATATCTTTTGGGGTTGAATTATTGCACAAAAATTATCCTAAAAGTATGAGTCGATAAGGAATCAAACAAAAAATTCATCGAAATAAGTTAAGTAGTATTTGACATTTTTGCTAACATAGAAACAAACGTTTTTTCTTTAAATAATAGCAAGGTAAATTAAGCTATGAACGATAGGATATAATATGTCACACACAGGTCGCATGGCAAGTCATCGCGAAATGTATGGTGACATAAAATCTGGAGTATGCGTATTATTATAGTTTTCAAAAAAAATCATCCGATTGGTAATAATTTCCATCAAAACGTGTAGGTTCCAGTGGCGGTTTTGGCAGTGAGGCGCCGCCTCACCGGTCGTTTTCCTAAAATCGTTATTTTTTGATTTTATGTACAATTTAAAATTTTCATACTTTTAAGCTTTCAAATTTAGGTTTTATTTTATTATGATAAAAAAAAAAAAAAAAAAAAAATTAAACCGTTTCGTTTTTTTCCACGCAAGTTGCACAGGATACTTGTCTGATACACCGCAATGCATGGTAAGAGCAGCTACTCGCGTTTACCTATACATTTACATAGTATCGCATCACGAGTTGAACGCCGATTCAATTTCAACAGAGGCGATTGGTGCGACGTCGCTGGCGTCTTTAACGACGCCGGACGCAGTGTCAGTGTGCCACAGTCACGAACCGTAGAGCATACAGATGTTGTTCCTAACACCATGTCTCTGATTTTTTTTATCATTATCTACTCTAGTCGTCGCTATTCGGTTCTGTGATTGTACGTAGGTGCCCGTAGTTTAATAATGTATATGATAATTTTAAACGTAGGGTAGATATTTAGGTACTTTCGTTTATTTTTTCAGTATAATAGGCAAAATAATAATTATTAATTCCCGTCCGTTGAGTGACCATGTTTTTCAGTAGTTGGAAACGCCGTTTCAGCGATGGAAAAATTGTGGTAAAGATTGAAAGATAATTATTATATGGACAATTTTTTTTTTCCCTTATGGGATTATTTTTCTTGTATCTTGTTACATATATTTTTGAAGTTTAAACCTAGAAAATATTGGTCTTATCATCTGTGGATTTTCTTTTTAATCATTTGTTAATAATTTAATTGTTTTACTTCAAAATAAAACTAGATACCTACCTAAGACAATTTGTTTTTAAAAGACTAAGTTTCTTGGAGTTAAACTATCCATTTTGTTTGTTTCGGTTTGAAATATTTGAAAAATAAAAAAATATTTTTGGTTATAATATTTTAAAGTATAACAGTATGAATTAATATTTAAATAATTAACCTAGTAAATAATACACATAATTAGGGAACGGATTTATGTGTACTTAAAATTCACAAAAAAGCCCTTTAAAACATCATAAAACGTCATGAAAACGCTTAAAAAAATCACTTAAAAAATATTAAAAGAGCAATAAAAATATGTTTAAAAGTTTCCCAATTTATTGTTTCTTATTTATTAAAAATAATTTAACACAAAAAAAAAAAAGATTATTACTAAATAATTTTCTGTAATTATATTTGTATGCATTATAAAAAAAAAATGTTTTGTCTTAATCATTATTCAGTGTTAGAACATTTTATTTAATAGGGTTGGAACCATTAGAGTGGGAACTTTAAAACTCCTTTACCACATTTGCTTAAATAAATATTTTTTGACGATTTAATAACTTTTTTTTGTGGATTTTAAGTATATATAAAATCCGTTGCCTACACATAATATTTTTGCCTTTGGTATAGTAAAAATCTTTAAAATTAAAAATATAATATTATTTAAAAAAAAATCATCAGGTAATTGGACAATTTATATTTTTTTTTTTTTTTATTAAAATCTATAATTGTCTCAAAATTACTTTTTAATAGTTACGCAAAATATGAATTAGTATATTTGTTATTACTTAGTACACAGTTTTATTTAATATTTTGTCGTCTCATGCAAAAATATGTACCAAAATCGCCACTGGTAGGTTCTCATTTGAAAAACCAAAGCTGTTATCACCACAGGATATTCTTTAAATGCTGTGAAAAATTTATGTATGCAAAAACATATCGTCGTTTCACTGCACTTAAAAATTGCAAAAATCATAATTATAATTTATGCATAACTTAAACCTTTACAAATGGGGTGAGCATATTTAAATCGTCTTTTATATTATATTATATCTTCGTAGTTACAAAACAATATTATGTAAACATTGTAAACAATAATTGTTCTTAAAAAATATCTTCACTCTCCTCCCCTCCTCCATGACAGAATCATTTGACCGCCACTGATGCTACTACATGTATCGAATGCAAAATAATTTTGTATTATGCGTACCAACAACTAGAAAATGTTCCTACCTTAATTAAAATTTGAAGACAATTTTTATTAATATCAACGATTAGCAAAATATTAAGTTACATTTGAAAATGAAAACGGTTTTTGATGACATTGTCTCAATAGAAATTAATTTTTGCCATCATTCTTAACATATTGATATGGTTAGCATAATAATTGTAATGGTTCATTGGACAATTCATGGTCATCAGTATTACCCGCTGACCCAGTCTACCCACTGTATAAGACTAGTTCGTTTTATAATATTTTTGTTGTCATGTGTAGGGATCGCCGAACTTAACATTTTTGGATCTGAGCAACAATTCTATTCATTACATTAGTCCGGATTCGTTCGTAAACCTGCCATTTTTAAAAGTGCTGCGTCTCCAAAACAACTTGTTGACCTCAGCCTCGACTTCTCACCTGCAGGGGTTGCGGTCGCTGGTCGAACTGGACCTCAGTTCTAACCTGTTGACCGGTCAACTTGGCCCTAGCACGTTGCCGAGGTTGCCAAACTTACAGATAATATCGCTGGCACATAACCAGCTGAACAGCGTCCGACGCGGGTCGTTCGCCGGGCTCGAAGGCATAGTTTCCTTGACGCTGAACCACAACCAGATCGACGTGCTTGAAGATCACGGTTTCAGAGCGGTGCCAACGCTGTTAAATTTGGACTTGGCCAACAACCGAATCGTAGCAGTGTCTAGCGCTTCTCTAGCCCACTTGACGAAACTCAAAACACTGGACCTTTCGCACAATTTCCTGAGGAGTTTGACTTCTGATCTCATAGCCCCGCTAAAGAGCATCCAACAGTTGAAGCTCGACGACAACGATATATCGATAGTAGCCGAAGGCGCCCTCAACACGGCGAATAATATTACGAGTCTCTCGTTATCGGGTATGTAGGTATCTTTATAGAATTACGTGTTTATTTTAAATATTACTTGCATTACATTTTTTTGGATGAGTAGTGTGTGAATATCAGCAAATTATATTGTAAATAATTAATATTAGCAAGTACTTATTAACAGTAATATTAATTGCATCAAAATATCGTTTTCAGACAATCCATTGAACTGCGACTGTAGTCTGCTGTACTTCGCCACTTGGCTGTCTAACCACACTGCGGTGTGCGCGGCCAGTGAGACGGCCGTGTGCGCGACACCGCCGTCATTGGAAAATGGTTTGCTGCAGGACTTGCCAACCGCCAAGCTGATATGCGGTGGTGAGGACAGCGTGGCACCTCCGGAGGGTCCACTGGCTTCTCTCCAATCGTACACTGCTACGAAAATAACGCTGCGCTCCTATCAGTTCGATGGCACCCGTGTCAGTCTGGGCTGGTCTGTCATTGCGCCAGTCGTTTCCTATTACTGCAACGCATTGATTATCTACGAGGACATCGGCAATCACGAAGTGTTGCTGGACTCGAAGCCCGTCCGATGCAATTCGTCACAGTTACCTGACGCCAAGAGTCTGACCCTATCGTTGTCGGCCAACGAACTGCAACCGGCGCACAGTTACAGGTCAGTAATCAGTATGTCCACAGTGGCTGTCACGTTTACGTATTAACTGTATGCGTGTATACTTGCTTACTACGCGAAAATTAAGATCTACAGGATACCGGACGAACACGTGATAAGTGAAACTCGAACCACCTTTTCACTTTTCGGCAAGTCCACCAAAATCATCTAGTGTACTATGTACAAGCTACATATGTCAATATTTATTTTCCTTCGAATTTTGAATTTATAATATTATGATGTACAATGTACATAAATCTTATTGATTTATGATCGAACATGGGACTCTACGTTTAATTTTTTTGCTTACAATCCGCCTCAATTATGTCTTTTTTAGACTAATGCTCTGTGGAAAATTGTAAGAGAATATCTAACAGTTGATTTAGTGTTCTTAAATTTTCCTAAAGTGGGAAAGAGCTTTAGGAATTGTTTTAAATAAAAGGTCTAGTTTGTCTGGATTTTGTGGAAATTACTTTGAGCAACAAGACATTATAAATACTTGGGTATCAGGTGAAGAAAGTAGCAAGTATATCGTAAGTGTAGATGATATAAAATAATTAACTTATATATAAATATAGTCAAGATCCTGTAATAAAAATTATTAAAAAAAAATAAAATGTAAAAACTGAAAATTTTTAATTTTTAATTATCTACAAGACATGTTTGCAAAATCCTCATTTGAAGTCTGGAGCTATACCTCTACTAAACAACTATACAAATGAAAATTAAAATTGAAAAATCGAATTCATATTGTGAAGATATAGCCATTGCTTCTAGTAGTTCATGTGCTCGAATGTATCGTATTCAGAATGTGAATGAGACAGTTTTCATTCATGAATAATAAAGAAAAATAAAATAAAATTATCGAAGTTGCCTAATTGCTACCTAATTTTTAACCCAATATAATCATTGCTGCTGTACAAATATAATTGTTGTACCTTATTATTAACGATGTAAATGAAACTAAATTATTCATTAGCGTGATTTTAATTGATTTTTATACCACTGTTATCTTGAGGCTGTCTTGCCGAACAGTGAGAATCGGGCGGACTCAGAAAAACATTGATAGGACCTTTCCGTTCGGTATCCTGAATATCTTAATTCGCGTTACTGCGTTTATATAGTCCCGTCCATTAAATCTCAACCTACCCCCGAAGTATCGGGAAAGATGACCGATGTTTTTGTCCGTGCACTGTTTCGAAAAAGGACGTGCCGCTTTCGCGACCAGTTTTCCGTTCGGCGGCGAGCGTCCCCGCCAGGCACCACCGGTCACGACAAGCGCGCCCCCGCCGTCCGCTCGTTGTGAACCCACGTATAGCCGGTACCGAATGTCACGACCGTCATTTACATGTCGACTCTTGTGCCGACCTGTAATACGTGCGGTACGCGTCCTGGTGTTTTACGGCGTCCGTTCGCCGCTGGTCGACACGCGCGAAACGGCGAACGCGAAAGAAGTGCGTTCTCTTTTGAAATAGAACACAGATTTTATCTTAGTGTCTACGGTTTTGTATCCATAATAGTGTCCCGACCAAATCCGTTACCTTTGTACGAAAATCCCTTCCTTTAAGGCGCAACTGTTACCGCCGTTTGCGATCGATCGTTTGCTAAAACTCTTGTTGTTTTTGTAGATATTGCGTGATGTTGGTTGAGGGGTACGCGGCGGACAAGTCGGACGATTCGGGCACGGTGTTGGGCTGCAGTGACATCATCGCTCTGGTGCCGAACGCGAACCAAGTGGCGCCCAACAATCGGGTAATGACCGCGGCCGCGGAACCGCCCGAAATACAGAACTTAACCACGTCGTTCGTGTCGCCGTCGTCGTTGTTCGTAGCCGTGCACCTGTCAGCGATCCGGCTGGACACCGGCAAGTGTACAATAACGGTTTCCGTGTACACCATGGGCAGACACGTGGCCCACCACCGGTTGAACTGCACGGCGTCGTGGATCACGGTCACAGAGTTACCGGCCGAAAAGTCATATCAGGTATGCGCCAGCATTGGTTCCAAGTTTCCTAAGGACGACGAGGAGACAATGGTGTGCACGTCGGTGGACGGTACTATGACGGACGGCGGTCCCGCCGACTGGTTTTTCGCACTATTGGGCGCCAAGAGTTACGCGTTCCTGTTGTCGGCCACATTTACAGCCGTTGTGTTCCTGTTCGTGTTGCTGATTTACAGAACTGTGTGTAGGGCGTGCAAGAAACCGGTCGGCACCAGTGGCGGCCGCGCCAACATTCAAACTCACCAGTGTTTCTTGCCCGTGCCACCGCCCGAAAATGGGATGCAGCGACCCAGATACGTGAAACTCCAAGCCACCACCGTGTTATAGTATGAACGTGTATGCTTACGTCATGCAAGCTCTTTCAAGCGTCACATCTACTGGTTCCCAGAAATTGACAGATTGTCGTGATTTTCGCAAGACCTTGTCGCGTCACTTGTGTGTGGCGCCGATAAGGACCCCGAGAGCCGCAACACTATGGTAATCCATGCGAGGCTCTGGCAAATCAGACGATAAATAACGAGTAGTTCTTAGAATAGCACCTGCCCTCTCGAGTATTCATTTGTCCATTTATGTTTTAACGTTTTTTTTTTCTACCTATATTAAGTCCGAACGGTTTACGTATTCGAACAATATTGTCCTTTCATTGTGCCATAATTGATCGTTAAGTGAGACTTATTTTGACGGAACCAACACTGTTGTTGGACACAACCTTATTGTGTTGGTTTTTTTTCTTATTGTTATTATCATTGCGGAACATATAATGTTTTCGAATTGAATTATTAGAACGGCCGTTATAATATCATAAAAACGATTTTGAACAGAAAATGTTATACATTAGATTGAACTTGTTATTAACTGTTGTTGATGAGTATGATAAAATACCAACAGTTTAACCCGCATTAACAACTTGGACATGTATAGTTTCACACTTTACGGTATTGTATAAGACTGAAGTATTGTTTAACTCGATTTAATGTTTTACTAACAGATTGTTAAAATGTATTATATTTTTTTTTATAAAATTTAAATTATTACCTATGTACCAATATTGCATCTATTTTTTGTTAAGATTTGTCTTAATTATTTAATAGAAAATGCCTTCTGTTTCTTTAAAAAAAAAAAAAAAAAAACTATTTACATTTATTATTAGGTACATATTAATTTTCGTTTTTTAAAGAATACTTGAACCACCTTATATTTAATCAGGTATTAATAAGATTGTACAAATTACCTATTTAATAGGTAGTATTATATTTTGTTTTTTTTTTTTTGTTGTAAATTTTGATTTTTTCCACTATTCAAGTGGAAAGGGTGTTAAATGTGATATTAAAAAATTTAATAATTATTAGTTAAAAAAACTAATGATTATCATTGCTGTAAATTTTATATTATTTTAACATTGGATAATTATTAACTAGTTCGTTTATTTTCTTTATTTTTATGTTGTAAATTTTGATTTTTAACAATTCAAGTAAAATGAATGTTATGCGTGATATTAAAAAATGAATAATTGTTAGTTTAAAAGACTATCGATTATAATTGCTGTAAATTTAATATTATTTTAACATTGGATAATTTTTACCTAGTTAGGTTATTTTCTTTATTTTTATGTTATAAATTTTGATTTTTAACACTATTCAAGTGGAAAGAATATTATGTGATATTAAAAAATGAATTATTGTTAGTTAAAAAGACTAACGGTTATCATCGCTGTAAATTTAATATTATTGTAACATTATTTTAACATTGGATAATTTTTACCTAGTTAGTTTATTTTCTTTATTTTTATGTTGTAAATTTTGATTTTTAACACTTCAAGTAGAATGAATGTTATGCGTGATATTAAAAAATGAATTATTGTTAGTTAAAAAGACTAACGATTATCATCGCTGTAAATTTAATATTATTGTAACATTATAACATTGGATAATTTTTTTGTTTGTAATCATTTGTATTTATCAAGTGAAATACATCTAACAATATTTAATGTTGCCTTGATTTTATGATTTTATAGTTCAAAAGATTATTATATTATTTTCTCATAATAAAAAAAAGACTTAAATACTTCGTATGAGTGGGCTAGTATTGTTGGTGAGAAGTTGGGAAGATAAGATTTAGAGGGGAATTTAATGTATATTTGTACGCAATGAGTAATCATTGCTAACAAAAATGATTCTAAACAAAGTTTGGTAATTTTAGTTTTACATGTTTTCAAAGGCTGAAATATTTATGATTTTTTCAAAATTTTTTGTTGTTCACTAAGTACGACTTATAATGAAAGTCCTGTTAAATTAAAAAGCATTTTTAACATTTAGTCTAACAATTTTATCTACAATACTTACCAAATAAAAATTACGTAAAAAACTCTCAAATTTAAAATGACTAAAATGTTTTGAAAATTTTACTATGTCTAGAAAAGGCAAATATAAGTTTTCTGTCAACATTTTAAGTCTATGCAAATTTTAAACTGAATTACTACAAAAACCAAAATTGAAAATAATACTTTTGTAAATTGTAAACACAAGACCAAGCTTACATCCAAATCATAATCAACTTTTTGTGTAACAAAGATGCTTTGTGAGTATAATAGTTTCTACTAAGTGAATACTTTCATGAGTAATATTTGTGTGATAGTGAAATCAAGTCACACATAGTGGAGTTGGCACCACATGTATAACATAATTCAACTAAATATTTCTAACAACCTTATTTCAGACTATGTTAGACGTTGATTATTGGGTATACCTTAAAACATAAAATAGGTTCCTTTACCAGACAATAAGATAAACCTAGGATAAATAAAATCTATTAGTTAATTTTCGTATAGGTTTGCAACCTATCTTTAGGTTACCATAATATTAAAGGCACCATTGGAAATTGGTACCAGAGACAAAAGATTTTTATACTATTATAAATCGGAATTGCAATTTGTATACTTGTTATAGATCTATAGCATGAAAAATTCAACCTTATACTTATTTTTTACTCGACTGTCAAAATAGTGTTTATGCATTTTGTAACTAAGTATCAATTCAATACTATTGATATATGAAATCCAAAATGAAAAAATAAAACTATAACAAATATTTGTGTGGTAACATGGCGCTCGTTTGAATAATGCTCGTCCATGATTGGTTGATGGAAATTAAAAATTTCAACACGATAAACTATTCGCAATATTTTTAATTTAAATTTCTATTTGAAAGTCAAAAGTAAGTAGTGGTTTCACTCCCAAATATGGTGACAAAAAAATAACTGAAGTAATTTCAGAGCTACTTGTTTCTTTGATTTTCTATACAACAAATTCCGATAAAAGTTAATATTTTCCGAGATAAGTACTTAAAGAGTTTTTTACGTGTGTTGATTATCCGTATAAGTATGATTGTATTTATATTATTGACATTTTACAGGATAGTTGAGTAGGAAGATAATATCTAATGATTTTATGAGTTTTACTTAGATTTATTACTAGAGAAAGTCATTTTGGAAGGGTGGGGAGACTGTGGCATATCGTACCCCCTATATGGGCCACACAGTAGTTGGAAATTAATATTTAGAATACATACAATTCCAACTATATAAAAAGTATACAGTTTTATGTTTATGGTGGTACGTATTATCATTATACACTAGCTATGCATACATAATAGTGTCATTTGGGGTGGGACAGGGGAGGAATTTGATTCACTTGTCAATAGCAGAACATTATCGGACCGGGTATGGGCTGATGTCAGCCTAGTTTTAGGCCCTCAAGCCTGCAAACTAGATTCATGTCATTATATTTTATGATGTATATGGTCACTATTGGCTACATGTTTTTATGGGTTATTTGTAAAAATTATAACCCATGACCGAAACGAGATGGTACATTAAAAACTAAATTATATTATTAACTATTAAGTACCAGTTTACCCCATACCTTTTGGTAGATAATCCCCGCGTTTCCATATAATATTTATGCTTACCTATTTGCTACATTTTAAAAATCGTATCCAACAAAAATTACTACATGAGAAAAATGAGAAATGGCATAGGCTTAATGATAAAATTAATATTTTAGTAACACAAAATACACAAAATTACAAATTATAAACCAGCATTATTTTTAACTACGAGTTACTAATTTAACTTTCATAATTTTCAATAAAGCTGAAAACAATTTAATATTACAATTACTTAAATAAAAGTAATAAATTCAATACATATCAAACATTAAACTTCAATCAATTAAAAAACAATTAATACAATGCGGATCTGTTATAAATTATACACATATAAAAACTACAAAAATAAGCCTGATAAAATATTGAAACAAACTAGGTATAATTAAACGACAAAATACCATTATTAACAACATTGTGAATAAATTAAAAATAATTCAGAAACAGTTTCGGTAGATAAATCAAATATTATTGTTATCATTTACATTAATAATATTTAAAAAAAATTTTAAAATTTAATAAATAATAATAATATTTAAACCTTAACATATGACCCAACTATAATTTACACTAAACAAATTAATAAACTGATAACAAATTCGAAAGAAATCATATCTAAAGTCCAAAAGGAAATATTATTAAAATCAGATTACAAAATAGAGGCTCCACAGTTACATCTATTCATAAAATTGCATAAACAAGATAATCCGATTTGTCCATTAATTAACTTTAAAACTGCTCCAACTTATAACCTTGCTAAAAATTTAGATTCTCTTATAAAAGAAAAATTAAACATGAATTACTGATACTTCTATAAAAAAACACTTATGATTTTATTGAAAAAATTAATATTGAGCCAGGTTAGAAAATAATTTCTCTTGATGTCAATAATGTTTATACATTTATTTTTAAACACGAAACAGTAATTTTCTTAAAAAATAAACTTATACATAGTAATAAATTCAATAAAAACTTAGTATAAGAAATTTTTCAATCAATAAATGTAATTATAACTCAAAACTATTTCCAATATAATAATAAATTATATTCGCAAAAAAAAAAGGCTAGTAAAGGGTGGTTTTTAAGTGCACTTTTATTTGAAATTTACATGCAAAATTATGAAACCAATAATATTATTAACAAAAAAATATATAGTCCATATATAAAAGCACATTATAGATATGTTGATGGCACTTTCATTTTCTTTAGAGGTTCAATTAGACAAACAGAAAATTTAGTTAACTACTTAAACAAAATAAATAAAAACATTCAATTTACACTCCAAATACAAATGAATAATAAATACAATTTCTTAGATTCTATAGTTTTCATAATAAAGAATAGACTTGATTTTAGTATTTATAGGAAACCTACACAAACTGATGTTATAATACCACATGATTCTAATCACCCTTATTTTTAAAAAACTATCATTTTTTAATTCAATATTATATAGGCTTAAACGTATTCTATTAAATAAACATAATTATCAACATGAGATTAATATTATCTATAATTTTAATTTAAATACTATTAAAAAAAAAAAAATATACAGCTCACTAAATAATGTTAACTATTGTGCTATGAAGTATCAAAATAATATGTCTAACAAATTCACTATAATTCTGAATAATGTAAAAATCTTGTTTTACATAATGATTGTGATATACCTGATGATGAATTTTTAATTTGAAACCGTTCGTATAATACACTTATCATAATACTCCAAGCAATGCATTCATTAATTAATTTATTTTTCATTTTTACATTTATTTACTATAAAAATGAACATCATTGTAAAATCAATACATTTCTCGCTCTTCTCAGAATCTTAAATGTGCATTCAAAATATAAAATATAATAACGACAAATTTTAAAAATTGAAAACTATGACTGAAATCAAATTTACAGTTCTTGTATATGATATTTGTATTTTGTACATATAAAAGGGAAAGCTGACTAACTGATCTATATATGCACAGCTCAGGCTGAAATTTGGCATAAAGATAGCTATTATGATGTAAACATCTGCTAAGAAAGGATTTTTGAAAACTCAACCTCTAAGGGGGTAAAATAGGGGTTTTAGGTATTTTTATTAGTACAAATATATTATTATTTATTTATTTTTGTTTAACCATGAGTTACCTTGGTGACATAAATGAAATAAATTGCCATAGGCATAGCCCAGGAGGAACAACTTGATTTGATATATATTAGAATATTAGATTCTATTATTCATAATTTATGTTTTTAATTTTTAATAATTAGTTAAATGGAAAATATGTTTTAACAGGTATAGGTAGGTATTGTTTTAAGTTAAGTCATTTAATTATTAATAACAAATCAATTTATACAATTTACAATTACACTAATTATACACGGTAAAACAAATAAATAAAACAAAATACTTATTATTTATACAACTTTTAATCGATTTGATGAGTCTCTATTACTCTCATTATTAGTACCAGTATTACCAGTTCGCATATTGTTATTACGAGTTGGAGTTTTATTTGGACTGTTTTTTCTACTTTCACCAGTATATGATTTCAATAACTTAGCTCTATAAAAATCACAAAAAAAAATAAAATAAATTTAAAAGCACTGGATTTATAAAATAGACAATTATTATTGAATTTTTATAAAACACAAACGTATATTATAATTAAATGTATACACAGTAAATGGCACAAACCCTTCCTTTTTCAATTTATATAGTATTTACTACTTATCATTTACTTACATATCAATCAACTTTTTCATTAGTCTAATGAATGACTGATATTCTTCTTCCAAGAATTCATTTGGATCATAACGTGCATGTTCATAAAGATCACAGAACTGATGAACAATGTGCTGTCCACTACCATCCAAAAGTACTGCTAATGTGTTTAATAAAAATGAACGTAAGTTTTCATTTGGATGACGAGTCAATGTTTTATCTTGTTTTGTAATTTCCCTCTCTGAAAGTATATTATTAAATTTATTGTTAAATACTGACAGTTAAGTCAAAGTCAAAGCATTATAATATATTACCCAAGTTTTTGATATCATCAACTGCTTTCATACGATAATGATGTGCTGGTAATGGTATGTTGTTAGTTTCAGTTGGTGGTAATATATACTTTGAATGATCATCGTCTAGGTCACTTGACAATAATTTTGGTTCAAAAACAATTTTTGGAATCACTTCAATGCGTCTTTCAATTTCCCGTTTTAATGTCTAATAAAAATTATTTTGAAACATTTTACCAATATGTAGTTCTTGATAGCTAATAATATTTAATATCACAGTGGGACCTGTCTTAACAGACACCTATATATTGTGGACATTTCTCTTAACGAGCAAAATAATATGGTAATAAGATAAGTATTTTTGCTGGTCTATAACAGGCATGGACAGTAATTTCTCCTCACTGACACTATAACAGATAATTATATAATAAAACTAAGACAACCAAAGAATTTAAGTTTCGACAAATTACTTTTATATTGCTGAGAATGATTGCGTGTCAATATAGATAAAATATTGTTCTATTTTCTTATTTTAACCAGAAATTGTAATTCAGTTGTGCTTATTTAGTCTGTTGTTTTTCTTTGTAATGGGACTTCATGTATTGTTAAAATTGTTTGATATTTTAAATAAAAACGAGGAAATGCAAAGATACTACAGTGGTATATTTATTTGTATTCACTGAAAAAATTTGGCATTGTAAAATGCAAGTAAACGAATGAATTTGATTATAAAAACACTAAAACCTTTCTACGGTGTACACCGATTCATAACAGCCAGTTTTAATGTCCCGTGAGTATACGAAATAGAAAAGTTTTACTATAATTGTGTTTTACTATAAATGATATTTAAATAGATTACCAATTTAATGAAAACCAACGATTGAAAATATAAAGCTATATGCATTAAAATTTAATAGTAAAAGTATATAATATTGTTATACAGGGTTAAAATCAAAAACACTGTACCTACCTATTCAAAAAATAGTGAACGGGTTTTATTGATTTTATGATGGTTATTACTTAACTATCACTGTGTGATCTACAAATATTCAAATGTGTACTGTTACTTTTTTCCCATCGTGACCAATCGGTACGTGCGGACCTCTTCTAGATCGTAATGCAAATCTCATAATCTGCCTCTTTGCAAATATAAATAAAAGTATAAAGGTTAATATACCACCAGCAATGAATATAACCACCGAGACGCCAGACAGTTGCTGTGGGGCCATTTGAAAAAAAAATATTGTAATAACTTATTACTAATATAATTCAAATAAACTAAATGAAGAAATCGAAATCTAGAGATGTTTGATATTCCAAACAAACGAGTAACGACACTAAGTTCTTATCACAAAAATAACAATAATGATAAGAAATATTAACAAGATACTAATAAAAATATGAAATCAATAAAATTTGGCATTTGCTCTTTAGTACTTAATACTGTATTTACGAGTGTCTACTTTAACAGTTTAATAATTGTCTAAGTTAACATTAGGTATTATTAATTATTACATTATAGTTTATATTACTAAAATATTAAATGTATTCTAACGTTTTTAATTTTCATGTTTTTATTCTGTTAATAGTTATATTACCGTTTTATTTTACTTGGGACAATGGCTTGGAGATCTAGCGGTCGGACTAATATTGAACTTGTAGATAATTTACTAGGTGAGTCATTTTATTATTATAATAATATTATTTCGTGAAAAGAACTTAGATGTAACCAGGCGTGGAGTGTTGAAGTTAGTGGGCCACTATGCATTTTTTTTTTTGAATTTGTTGAATTTGTTGTGTTTGTAATAGTTTTAAGCCATGCGATTAATAAATAATAGTGGCCCACAAAAATTTATTTTTGTTTTTAATTAAATGTTTGCTTTAAAGTAGGTACCTACTTATTAATTAATAATATGGAAAAAAGTAACTTCTAATTATATAGGGAGCAACTAATAACTCTAACTTATAAGTAAGTTAATTTATTCTACAAGTACCTCACTACCTACTTACCCAACTAGTTACTTTTTTCATCATGCAACTTATAACTTGATTTGTTTCTATAAAAACTTAAGTCAGGAACTTCAACTTACTCAGTTAGTTTCTTTGAGAAATTTGCCCAGCTTTGATTTTAAGAGCATTTGGGTTGTGTTTTATTTTTTGAAATATTCATATCATATTTGTACTTACATATTTATTAATACAAGAAAATAGTACTTAATATATTGCATTATTAACTATTTGTGTATTAAATTAATTATCCAAACTTTTATTTAATACATTTATTATTGGCCTATTAGTTGGTTTATTGGGGGCAATGCTACAATAAAATTTGTATGTAGGTACTAATGTAGGTAGGTATACAATAATACAAAATTCACGTACTTATATTTATTTAGTATTTAAATTTAAAACTAAATGGGATACACAAATGCATATTGATCTATCATTAGGTGGGGTGAACTAGGTTACAATACATTAAGCTCTGTAAATAGTGCAAACAAATAAAATGATCTGTTATAAACTGATTATAATTATTAAACCTTTGGTATATTTTTAACTGTGTTGGGAGAGTGTGAGATATTGGCTTGCTCCTACCTAGCTGACTTTGTAGTATTTGATTATTCAATAAATAATGGCAGCTTGAAATAGTGTTAACAATGAAACAATGTTCACACAGATTCCTAGTTGCTTCCAGTTCAAATGAGAAAAAAAAAAGGTATAGCCTATTCATATGGGACTTATGTAATTAAAATCTATAAAAAGCGCTTAAAACATTTTTGCTTTTTCAAATATTTTTCAAGAATTATTTGATGTTTTTAAGAGCTTTATTGTGGATTTTAAGTGTTGGTACTTATGATCAAAGTTTGAAGAATGAGCTGATCAGTTTTTCATGGTACGAACTATGTACACAAGAAGAGATTTTCCAAAGGAATGTCATGACTGAGCATTAGAATAGTTGTAATAGGGACTTTAATTCTCATACCTATCTCGAAAAGATAAAAAAGTATAAGGTAATTATATATTTTTATTTTACAGCACACAAGATTATTAAAAGTAATAAAGTTGAAAAAGTAATGAAAGCTGTTGACAGAGGTAATTATATATCTACATTACCATACAGTGATTCACCCCAAAGCATTGGTTACGGAGTCACAATTAGTGCACCTCATATGGTAAGTAGATATTAGAATATTTAATTTTAATTTAAATATTGAAAATAATACACCAGTAAGATTGATGATAATGCCTTACTGTAACAAACATTCAATATAATACATGAAATTATGTTACCTATTATCATTTTTATTTTCTTATTTAAATAAAGGAACGGGATTAAATATAGTTCTCATCGTGTCGTGTAGCTCTGTTTTATTTTTGAAATCTATATATGAGATTTTTTGTTAATTGTAAAAACAAACAATGTAGAATCACAAAAATGTCATACAACATCTCAACACCTTAATATTTTATATCTAAAATATTAAAATGTAAAATAGTTCTACATAATTTATTTAAAAAAACAGAACATTATTTATATTTTTTAGATTCTGAGCGAGATCTATTGATATTACTATGATGTGTGTTCCTTTTGCTGTCTGTAAACAACTTGTCTCAATTGAAAAATGACAAAATATCTTTTTTGTTTATTTTTGGAATTAATTTTCGCATTTAGAGAGATCATTTTTTTAATTTTACAATTAAAAAAATAGTAACGTCACGTTACAGATCTAGTTGACGATGATATAATACATTCTTTGTAGTTTTTCTAATAATTCAAACCAGAAAAAAATGTATTAAGAACAGGAAATGGTTTCATTATTTTCAAATTTATTTGTTGATTGTAATTCAGTTGAAAATATTCATAGAGGCTTGAAATTTTGGCAGAAAACTTATATTTGCCGTTTATAGAAGTGGTAACATTTTAAAAATATTTATAAGCTATTTATACGCATTTAAAATTTTAAAAGTTCTTTGGTAGGTATTATCTGGATAAAATTGTTTGACCAAACAGAAATGTTTGAAAAAGTTGACTGTAATATAGTAGTTTTTTTTTTAATCATTTTATAAAGAAAAATGCTGATAAAAATCGTGACTACTACAATATTTCAAAACATGTATAGGTATTTGAACTTAGTTTATTGTTGCCTACTAATATAAATTAAATAATTTAATGAATCCTACCTTTCCAACTTTCCACCTATTTTAATTTGATAGGCCATGGTTATTATCCCAATTTTCCACCTATAATAGTGGTGCAACTATCAGCAAGATCAGCCTTTTTTTTAAAAATATTTTTAAATTAAAAAATAGATATCTTCTTAATTATTTAGTATTTAATTTATTATTACTATCAAAAAAATACAAGGTGATTCATTTAATTAGGAACACTCATTATTTTGGAAAGTATTACATTTTTTCACAATTTTAGTAACAAGCAGCTCTACAATGTTATATTTCCATTATTTTTATCACCCTTATTTTTGGATTTTTCAATAGAAATTGGCATTTGAAAGTCAAAAGTGGGTTCACCCTTAAAAATAAGGATGGAAAAAATAATGGGAATGTAACATTTTTGAGCTTATTGTTTCTTATATTGTCAAAAAAAAAAATACTTTCCAAGATAATGAGTGTATCCATTTAAATTGTTCACCTTGTACAATATCAAATTATATTTTTGTTATTTATTTGACTTTTATACAATTTAATATTGTATATTTTAGCATGCATATGCTTTGGAACTTTTAAAAGATCATTTAGTATTTCAAGAACGAGCATTAGATATTGGTTCTGGATCTGGGTATTTAACTGCTTGTATGGCCATAATGATAGGGGAGAATGGTAAAGCTGTTGGAATTGATCATATTCCTGAACTTGTTGAAAAATCTATACAAAATGTTAGACAAGATCACCCAGAACTCTTGAATTCCGAAAGAGTCATCTTTGAAAGTAATAATTGCGACACATTATTTTAAGTAGTTATTTATTAATTAAAAAGAGTATTTTACTTTTGCAGTTGGAGATGGGCGATTAGGTTTAGATAAATATGCACCATATAATGCAATACATGTTGGAGCAGCAGTAGAAAAAATTCCAAAAACGGTAATTTTATACTTCAATAATAATATTTACAAAACGTAATTCATATTTAGTTCTAACAAGTGGATATCTAAAACATTACAGACCACTTGATTGTTTTAATAAATGTATGACTTAATTTGTCTTGTTCGCATTCAAAATTTTAGAGCAAATAATTTTAGAAATGTGAACATTGTTTTGGTATTAAAAATGTATGTTTACAGACCCTAAACTATACATTTCTAATAAAGTTAACATTTAGTATGTCATTCATATGAATATATTAAAGTTGAATGTTATAATTAAACATATATTTATCATAATTTTAACATTTTTTACTAATAAACATTATAAAATAAATTTAATTGCAAAAATTATTTTTTGATAATAGTGTAACACATTACTTGTATTTTGCAATACTGCCTTAATCTTACTAAGAAATTAATTTTTCAACACGGCTTCCCAAACAGTCTTTTAAACCTATGTTTAATACATCATAAGGACACGTTAGATTTAGTGCAATTATTTTTGTGTAGATGACAATGTGTTTATTTTTATTTTTTTTCTAGTACAACCATATTCTTTTTACAACCCTTGACTAGTCACTTTACGTCCAAACCATCCTCTAACACACTACGATATGCTCTTTATTGACTCTATTTTGTGTCACATGACAACTTAAAAATCAAAGATGGTCAGATCAATTTTTTTTTATTTTTCAAAGTTTAAAAAATGAGTAAAGGACACATAAATTATTTTTATTAGAGCGATACGTGCGTAATGCGTATTAAAGATCATGTGTATTATCGTGACCTATCGACCCCAAAGTATGTAATAATACAACTAAAAAAAAACCTCATTCAACTGCGTTGTCGTCGTCAAGAAATTGTATGTGCAGATTTTGTTTCCGGTTGCATATATGCAACGAATATATGCACACAAGTATAACAGGATTTCTACTCCTTTTTTTACTCCCAAGATCTCGAATCATTGAAATCTTCTACCGCGATATACGTCTTGTAAATCTTATTCAAATTGTTCCCGAGAAAATGCCGAGTGTTTCCCGAAATTCCAATGCCCATATCAATATCAATATATCAATAAGCAACAGTCACAGATATGCGAAAACATGGAACATATTTGAAATTAATAAACAAAAGTAGTTTTTGATTGTAGTATATTATCAGATAATTATTCAAGGTGTAATGAAATAATGCACGGATTAATAAGTATACGATTTATTACAAGTTCTTACTTCCTTCCTACCTTACCCAAATTCCAAACCTTATATAGGTTAACCTAGTACCTTAAGTGGTTAAAAACCACGTCGCATATACATCAAGATATGTATAGGTGTTAAAAGACAAAAATCACTTTGGGTTAGTCGCATTTTGATGTACAAATGTCGATAATCTTGTCTATTGTGGTCATGTATCGTCAATTCGTCGACATTATTAATTTCAAATTTTAATATTAGATCAGGTCATGTTTGATTCGAGGTCATTTTTCTCATCAGACTGAGAAAATCGATTTTCGCTTTGCGAGTGCGAAATAAAGAATTAAGGACACAATTATAAACTATATTATTTATAGCGTAAATGAAATTCTTGAAACGACCGGTAAAAAATCCCAACGGAATTCACTTAACATTTTCATATAGCTAACCACTGGTTCGTGATAAAAAATAAAATAAAATCGTGTCTGCGGCGAGGGTGTGGCATGACGCAGACGTCCGTCGATCCACAAAACCACATTCCCGGTGGAATGATTTATATATATATATATATTTATAAATAAAAAAATCGGAGAAAATAAATCCGTTCCCCGGGAAATTTTTTAACGTGTTTATTTCAGTTTTACGTCGTCCTCGTTTCGTTAGGTGATTTTTTCGCTTCCGGAACCAACACACTTATTTTAACGCGCAAAAGAAAAAATGCGATGACGTTAAAACAATAACAAAAAGATCATTTGTACGAATGTACCTTTGAATAAAAATATAGTCCGTTAGAGGATAAAAATAAAAATAAAACAACTACAATTTTTTGACGTTTTCTAAAGATTTGCGATTTTTGTCTAGTGATCTCAAACAGTTTTATTTCCCTGTTTAGTCATTACACAATGCTTGAGTTGGGGAACAAATAAGGGACGGTTGTTGGTTCTAGTTTAGAAAAAATCGTTAATTTGTTCCATACTTCGGCTCCTAAATTTACATTCCTAAGTTAATTTCACGCTAAAATCGAAGAAAAAATATGTTCACCAGCGTTCAACTATAGTTAACAAATTGAAAAATGTCGTCTCCTGATAGAGTTTTTGGATTGATTTACTTCAATCCAGTTTTTCTCTGAAACTTTCGTCCGTGTTCTGAAAAACCTCGAAGATCTTTTGTCATTTTTACTAAGTCTTTACATCTTTCTCGACCATTTGTTCCTTCAGTTACTGTCGTAGCCAGGTTTTCCAAGTATTTGTTTACCATTTATGGCGGGGTTTCCCTCTTGTTATCTTTTGCTTGGTTTATTAAGACCATGTATGAATTATTTTATCTTAATCCCTTGCTTGCCACACATGACCAACCCACTCTAGTCTTTTAGTGTGTGTGGTGTAGTGTACTATATTATATTATTATCTTTCTTTAAAATATATCTATTTATGTATACATTTTGTTTTGTTTAGTTACTTGATCAGTTGAAAGTAGGTGGTCGACTTGTGTTGCCAGTTGGTCCACAAAATGGTGATCAAGTTTTGGAAGTAATTGATAAGGCATTAGATGGTTCAGTATCTAGGAAGAAGTTAATGGGTGTAGTTTATGTTCCATTAACAGATGCAGAATCTCAAAGAAATAAAATGAAATAAAATTATCCGTGAAACTGCAGATATAAAATTTGATTTGAAATATAATTTTAATATTTGCTTAATAAAAAAAATTGATTAGGAGGTATCATTGTATTATTACAAAATTGTTTAAACTTGTATTTTTATTTGTGTATTTGATTTAGTATAAAACAACACAATAGAATTAATTGTTTAGTATTAAGAATAAATTTTGTATAAATTATATTTTATTATGTTGCTATTATAATATGTACATAGTTTATATAATTAAAATATATTAATGTATTTATTAATTATATTTTGAATAGTATTTTCTTGTTAGCACATTTAGAAAAATGTTGTATAAATCTATATTTTTGTATTTATAAAATACATGATTATACCACCATGTATTTAAAAAAAAAAAAACGAAGAACAAAGTTCTTTAAAAAGTTGTTTAAAAGTTATTTGTTTAATTATTCAAATGTATTTACTATAAATGATATCCAATATTATTTTGCATCAATTAAATGAATTATACAGTTTAGAGTTTATAATGCATAATATAGAACAATTTATTTTCCAAAGATCCAAAATTTGTTGTAATGTTGTATATACCTATTTGTATTTATTTCATAAGGATACATGAGTACCTAATGTTTCGTGTCTGGGAACTTATTTAATTATTGTATAGTTTGTGTTTGTATCAAGTGATGTAGGCTATTAATAAGTGATTTCAATGCAAGAAAGTACAATGTCTCTAAAATAGAAAGAGTGATACATCTATTCATATGAGAATTTTGAAAGGGATTTAACAGTCTTTTACAATATTTTACATGCATTATAATATATTCTAGGAGTTTATGAAATAATTAAACAATTGTGTGAGGAACTTACCATAAGAATCAATAACATAACTGATACCATCTATTGATTCCAAATTTACTAGAAAGAATTATATCATTGCACTACCGTGTGAAATATTACATAGAAATTAATAATGTTCATATTGAATAATATTTGTGAGAATTCTTTACAAATTAATTTTTTTTTTTTTGGTAATTTTACTTATTTGTTAATTAAATGAAAATAGTATTCAATAAAAAATTGCACAAATTTGTGAAATTTCTTGCAAAAATCTTATACGAATAAATGTGTCACTTCAATTTTTCTATTTTGACGACATTGAGAGTAAAAAATAGTGTAAAAATGATGTAATATTGATTCATATGAAGATTTTGTAGGAAATATTATGGAATATTTATTTTTAAATTCTCGCAAATCTTATTTGAGTAAAAAAGCTGCACTAGGGTAATGGGGAAGGTAGGTTATATATGAGAATTCAATATATATCTGTACGCAACGATAAATGTTAACAAAAAAATGATTCAGAGCAGAGTTTGGTTGATAGTGTTGCTTTGTCAACAATATATATGTCATATAATGGTACCTAAAATAATTAAATAATGAGCATTAAACATTTTCTTTAATAATATTTGTTTAATATTGTACCTATTTCCCTTTTTTCACACGTTTTTCCCATTTTTTTTTCTATCTTTTGGGAAAACTCTTGGGAAAATTAAACAATGACCTAACTAATGTACCTCCTCAGTCAGATTTCTTTTAAAAAAAAGTGCTATCATTGTAAATCGGAGCAAAATTGCTGGTAGAAAAGTTATCCACAGAAAAAATACAAAAATAAACATCATTGTAAAACCAATATATTTCGCGTTCCACTCAGAATGTTAAATCCAGGCTTTGGAGGTAGAACAAAACTTTCAAAAACGTCGTTCAAACTCGAGAATTAGAATTGTTTTATAGGTGGATTAAAGTGATCAAAAGTGAGGTTGAATTTCAACATAAATTTCACCATGTTGTTATAAAGGTGTTTTTTCAGTTTTAAACACCCCTACAGCAGATCTTTATTTATTATTATATTGATAAATGAGAAGTCCTAGCGAGTCATATAAATAATAAGAATTTCTAATTTACAACCCACCCCCCCCCCTTTCTGAAATATTTTTCTGGTTATGCCAATGATGGTATCTCGAATTTTCGTGTATTACCTACATATTTATATAGACTAAGTAGGCGCGTCTCTGAGAGAGAAGGTGTAAAGGGGGCAATCGTCTCTCATGTGTGAGGTAAGATTTTTTATTTTTCACTAAATATATAATATCCATAATATTTAAGTCTTAATTTTAGGGAAAAAATTGGCCTTTAAGCAACTTTTTATATCTTATTAAGCATCATAGATCATAGTTTATAGTAAACAAATATATGATAATATATCATAATATTTACTTACTATCTATATTCTATACATAGTAGGTACATTGACTGTTTAAAGCACGAAACAATATGTTTTATTGAATATTTTATGAATTGTATGAACTTGCTTCAGTTTGATGGTTCACCACGATTCGTCCCGCGTGTCCGCGGAGTTGTTATAATTGTTGACAACCGAATAAAATCTACTACTAAGGTCACCTAATATAACACGATCAAGGCCTATATACAATTTTCTTTATACGCTGTGAATGTTTTAATATAGTATTATCATAAATAATTTCCGATGTACGCAGATTGCGTTACGGCTTAAACGGCGGTGTAGGGTCACCGATATAGAGTCAAAAAAAACCCTCGTCGTCGATTCTCCAAGGACTGTACATACGGTCATACGATTCGGGACTATTATATCTACTTCTGGTTACTGGGTAATGCAGTAAAATAGGGCGGCGAACTATAGTGGTGTGGGACGCATAGAACAGAAAATGAAATCGATTATGTTGAGATGCGAAAACATTATAATATTCAATTGTTGTTCTATTTGGCATCAAAACTAATATGTGGTAACTATAGGACGTATGGATATTGTATTCTGAATGACAATTGGGCGTTACATGGTCGAATGTTACTATATAAACTGATAGATTGGATATATTTTCAATCAGTGTATCGTTCAACCGTGGTGGACACGCGATAACCATACAAGCTATCATAAACATACCTATAAGCAAGCAAAACAGCGTAATCAAAATGAAATTCCAGGTAAGAAATAATTATATGCTTGCGTCTTCTAGTATTTATTGGTAGACACGTCGCGGTATTTCAACGTTCTTATAATTGAATTTTCTCATACGAAACACAATGGCATAGCCATATAGGTGTAGGTAGAATATTTGTCGACGGTAAATACATAATAATTTTTCATAAATCTCCTCGGGTACCGGGCAGGGTAGGTATAGGTTATACGAGTAGTTATCGTAAATGCGATTCGGTGGGTGTCAGGGGTGCCTGGCATTTCCGGATTTTATATTGGCGCCCAAATTTATATTCGTTTCGTTTACATTTATTCAGTTGACGTAAATCTGACACCACCGACAAAGATCAATTACATATATCTATACAGTATTGAACGATAAAATTTCCAAAATGATCTTACGTCTACTGTGAATATAGATATTATTGGTTCCCTACGTTTTTCATTCTACGCCTCGCGTAGGTTTTCAAAAATCTCACCCTCTCCCATTTCAGTATATGGGCCCTGATCAGTACTGGGTGTATTACAGTGTTATCCGAATGACTAATAACTCTGTCAGTAGTCATTTATTTTTTTTCGAAATCGGGTTTTGTGTCGTGGGACACAAATGTAGAGAGAAATTAAATTTTTATTTTCGTCCCTCAATCGCTGAAAAAGAATAATTTTGTTTTTCACATTTTACAATTTTCAAAATATACAATTTGTAAAATATATCATTCTATAAACGTTAATGTATCATACATTCAAATGCATGAATATGTGAAAAACGAGTTATTCACGTTATGTAATTACGAATCATAATCGTAATACAAGGGAATCGTGGTAAATCCCATTCCTATATAGATTATAGATATTTTATTAAAGATATCTGCGTAAGTATAATGACTTAGATGATTTTAATCGTGTACCTACATTGATAATATTAAAATTTAATTCAAACGTATACCCACGTAAATAGTCGAGAAAAGAACCGAAGAGGACGAAGAAAAAAAATGCGACTGTAAGGAAGGATTTGGCAGATTTGAATGTAAATTACATTTTTGTTTTTTCTATATTTTATTTTTAGACAAACATAAATTAGCTATTTGACAATTTTGAATTTTATTCCGGAGATTTATAAATATTATATTATATATTACAATTTATTTCGTAAGTAAACATTATTCTATATTCACGATTTTTTAACCTTTGTTTCCAAAAAGTTCTTACCGAAAGCAAGACATTTTTTTGAAAAAGTAGGTAAAACATATCATTTTTGTTTATCAACAAATTGTGCAGAAATGCCTGATATCATAACACAGTATCAAAAACAACGTGAAAACTGTAATTTATTTTTTATATTAATTTAAGTGACCCGATAACAAAATATATTGGTAAAATAAAAATTCAAATGTACTTACCTCACATTTATATCTGCCCTATTATTCCCTACGCCATTCATATGGTATCATAAATATTCGGCTGGTCGTGGAGAAACAGTATTTCGTAGCCACCTTGTGAATGGAATTTTGAAGTGTCGAATAGGCGACAAATTATTATTATAATCCTAGATCGAGTGCCATATTTCGACGCGGAACATTTGAAAAAGAAATTGTGTTAGGAAAATGAAAAAATGAGTTTACGGAGTTAGGGACAAGGACAACAAATAGAACTACAATTTTTAAGGTTTTTGAAAGTATAACGAATAACTAAATGTTAAAGTATTTATTATTTTATTAATACTTATTTTAGGCACATATTTTAATAGTGTGTAGACATAGGTACCTGGAATTTTAAAAATCTGAAAATTGTAAACATTAGATAAGAGGAAAAAAAAACCGTAAGGTTGTAATTGTAAGATGTATAAATTGTGAGACTTTGTGGACATTAACGATCGGACCCTTGAGGCTTTGAGCGAAATTAGGTTTGTGTTGAAGTATAATTTAAAATGCATAATATTATGCGCTTTTACAGGTATCATTCGCTCTGCTCGTCGTCAGCGCGTGCTTCGTCTCTGCGTACACTGCCGAACAGCCAAAGCAGTCATCTCAATCAGTCAGCTCGGCCGGAGACCGTAGCAAACGCGGTTTATACGCTTCTCCATATTTGGCTAGCCCGTACGTCGCTTCACCGTACGCCGCTTCACCGTTCGCCGCTTCACCGTACGCCGTTTCGCCGTACGCCGCTTCGCCGTACGTCGCTTCACCGTACGTCGCTTCGTCGTACGTCGCTTCTCGTCATCCGCACGGCGCGGTCTCTTCGTACGCCACTTACCCGTACGTCGCCAAGACTTTTGCCTCTCCGTACGCTTACTACCCGTGAGATGAACACCACCACTACGATAAATACGGTCATTTGATTGCGCTCGAGTTACCACGCCCCGAAATGTCGACAGCGCTGCGAACACTATTATTGACACTACGTTGTTTATTTTATGTTTAAAATTACCTAATGAAATAATCATAATCTCGATAAATAAATTTATATGTTACGGTAATATGCTATTAGATGCGCATTTTTTTAATTAGTCGTGCGTAGCAAATTGTTTAAATAATTCAATATTGATTACCTAATGCAAATATTATCGTATAACAATTATGATATTAATTTGGTTCGCCGCTATCGTTTATAACTTGATAATAAGTGAACGAAAATTAACAATGTACATACTAAAATGCACGCAATTGAACGTTTTTTTTTTTAAAATGTCGTAATAGCCAAATGAAATCTATTTATAATTATAGTGATACATAACTATAACTATATAGCGTTAAATTTCTACGTGTGTTAACAACTTTAATAAGAGTAAAAGTTGTAATAATAAATTAATTATTAATAGTTACCTGAATTTTCTCGTTTACCATAAAAATATGCAAGTCGACGGTGATCAGCGGCGTAGGAAGACTCGCTAGCGCCCCCGGCAAACTGGTCAAACGGTCGGTCGCGGACGATTTCAAAGTCGGACATGCTAGAATTTATTTTTAGGCCAAGCGTACGAAAACATGGACATATTATCTATATTATTTATTTATTACCTAAACTGTTTAGTTATTATTTTTATGCACGAGAATTAATCTTGGTGATAAATAACAATAATGTCGATACATTGTGTATAATTTTTAATATTTTATTTGGTTCCGTATGTCAAATGTTTGTCGTTCACGTGTTCATTTCTAGTTCAGTAATCTAAAGTTTCGTTAATTTCGTTAATTCGAAAGGACGTTAGAAAAAAAAAAAAAAAAAAAAAAAACAACGACACAGGGCGCTAAAAACGTAAATACCTCTTTGCGGACTGTTATTGATTAATCGATATAATATTATATTGTTGCGTGCGCCGAAAACACTCGAAAGCTCGCCAAGATAATTCGTGCAAACGTAAGAAATTCGAAAATTATGTTATTGTTTTTTTTTTTAAATTTTTATTAGCAAGGTCACTCCGCTGTCTGCGGAGTAAAAAGTTTGAATATAAATCATCCGATTAAACCGCAGAAATAAGACTATAAAAAAGAACGGGTTAGGCCATTCCAATTTCGGTCATGTATAGCTCCGCAGTGGTCTACGACGCATAGACGGCGTACTATTACGCGCACAGTGTGCTCACGTGACGCAACAGCCATTCTGAACACAATGTACGGGCTGAATGATGAACGAGACTCGTGTGTGTGCGTGTGTTTTTGACATACTCCAATATTCGAGTACTCGTATACACAGATATATTGTAATGCATGTACGTTAGTTTACGCTGTTGTCCTATTGTCGCTAAAGAAGCTACGGATTTTGTTTCGCCGTGTGGCATTCAAATCTCTTTAACCTATTATGCGCGTATTATGTACCTACTTGTTCTGAATAAATTCTATCGGATCAATTTATTTTGATATTTGTAGTAGATACGAGTATATATATATATATATATACGTACAAATTTTATAAACAAAACAAAGGCCATGGCCTGAATCCGCTGTTATCTAATAGACTAATGCTAATTTAAGAACAATATAATTAGACTAGGTAGTAGGTGCCTACCAAATAACAATGCATTTTTTTTTTTTTTTTTACTGCAATGTCAAAATTGTGATTGGTGCGTATTATTTTGTATACTAAATATGTTTGTTTTGCAGTAGGCGATCTTAACCGTAAGGTGTAGGCATTATTATATTACTCAGGACTATTGCGTCTATACTGGTATCTATATAACATTCAAACGGCACTTATTATATTCACGAGTATAAGTACCTATATTGAAAAAAAGTGACTATTTTACGATTGATAATGAATAAACTAAACTGATAATTATTTTTAAATTATTAACTAATTCGATTATCAAACGTGAATATTTTTATAATTCCTTAATAATACGTACTACCTAAGCACCTAATTAAACCCGTATTTATTTATAATTCAATATTAGTCTTTAATAAAACATACAGAGGTACCTCCAAAGTATATCTATATTCTATAGCTAATCATTATTATTCATACTGCAAGGATATTTTCGGAGGTCTTCTGTTTTCTATTGTCATGAAATATGATTTTTAAAAAAATACACAATATCATTTTAATTTACTACCCATTAGAATGGTATACAATTTAATATTTATTTTATTTATCACCATACGAATATCTACGAATTATAATTTATTATTATCTATTATAAATGTTATCACGGTTAAAGATGTTAAATGTAAGAAATGTTATCAAATCGATAGAAAACATGTTGAAATTGTACATGTTGTTGACATCAATGATCAGTTAAGTTCGAAATTGATATTCCACACATTTTTAATTATTCGTCTAGTAATAGATATTAATATTATAATATTCAGATTTGTTTTATTGATTTTAAGTTCAGAAAAATTGTAAATTATATCAGTAATAAATATAAATACACACAATTTTCGAAGTTTTCGATCAATATTTTAGGTCGGATTGTGGCCATAATGTGCCGGAATACAACCGGTTATATAACAGAAATAACTTTATGGAAAAAGTATTGGGAATTTCGAAACTATTTTCAATCATGTGGTCACTATAGTATAATTTATACTATTATCCATCTAGATAATAATTTTATGTATATTTTTTTATCGTATTCTTATTCGTGACAGAGACCCACGAGAATAGATATACATATCTATACATAGAGCTTATATTTATTTTTTTATTAAAACCACAAATTTGTTGAGTAAAATAATATAACACTTTTTCCATCTTCACTTTTATCTTACGCAAGTGGTATCTGATTATGTTCATATTCATGCGCATTATATATTAAATTTCTATTCATCATTTCTTCACCTACTATACTGAAATACTACTGATACTTCATAGTGAAGGTTAGATAAGGTTTGTCTCCCCTATAATAACGTTTAATCTTTGACGTTTGACTTCGGCTGACAGAACTATGCCCTGAAAAACCTATTAAATATGTAGGTATCCAGTTATAACACACAAATTATCAAAATATTCCATTCAAATATGCTCTAAAAAATAATAAAAAAAAATCAATAGAAAAAATTTATTTTAATTTTTCAGATTATTTATTTTTTATATTGCAAATTATTTATAAAAAAGGGCGCGGTTTTTTGTTAATTGAATTTCTCTTTATCTGAAAACCAAATAAAAATGTTATGTTGTTAATAATGGATATCAAAAAAAAAAAAAAAAAATAAAAATACATTTTAATAATAGAAATAGTACTTATCGTCTGTTGAATGCTTATGTTTATAAATCTTGAACTATTATTTCGTGGTTCTCGATTCGTTGAGTTAAAAACGTTTTAAAAATTTACGAATTCCTAAACATGCTTTAATAACGTACAAAATCTTAATATTTGCTGTACAAATTCTAAAAAACGACAAATTTGAAAAAAATATGCTAAATAAAACTTTAATTTGTGATTCATAGTTTATGAAACACATTTTGGTAATAATTAGCTATTTTTTTTTCTGATCAATCAATGAAAATCGTAAATGCAAAAAAAAATGTCAGCTCTAGTTATAATTATATAATTAAATCACCTTTTCAGCAACACATACAACTTACATATTTTTTCCAATTATTATTTTTAACTCCAGATTTGTATATTCTTATCTTTTCAATCAACTTTGACTCATGCAATTTTGTTTTCTATCTCCTGAGATAGAGTCATTTAAAATGTATTCAAAATATGATTTTTTTCTCGATTTAAAATAATTAAACGTGTATGTAATTCTCTATGTGTACATAAAAGGATGAAACATTATAGTAAAATTTCTTAATTTTAAACTATATCTTTTTTTGATGTCTTTGTTAATATTCCGTAGTTTCGATTTTTACCATCACTCCTTAATCACTAGAAAAAACAGTATTTTAATTATTTTTATTACGAAATTTTTCAAATAGTCGATCTTTAGTAAACATTATTCTAAAAAATTGTTTCTCACATACTTATATACATATCTGACAAATGGTTTTTTAGTAATAGCTGTTTTAATTTCTAGAGAGGGGGCGTGAATAAATTATCATTTACAATACATTATCGCGTTACGAGATAGTAAATCACGATCGTAATAAAATCGGCAAAACTGTCAACTGACCACATTATTACAATAAGCGAGTTTTGTCGCGTAGGTATTCGCGTAATGTACCTAGTAATTACCTATCACAAATGATTTATTGAGTTAGAAATTAAAACAGCTGTTACTAAGCAACTATGCTGGTCGGATATGAATGTATATAATAATATGTTTTGAAAATGTTGAAAATTATTATATAAAAAATAACTTTTTTTTTTTTTTTTAAATCATTAAGGCGTAAATATAAAAATAAAACAGTTTCTCTAAATATATGTATGGAATGCGATCGGACAAAAAAAAAAAAAAAAAACAATTAAAACCGATTGAATTTTAACGGAAATATAAAAAAATCCGCCTTAACACGATGGGACATCCTGTGTACGTAGTAAAAAATCAATATATAATATATTAACATATTATACGTATTATATTTACTGAGATAAGTAATATTAAATCTTTCAACTAAAAAGTTGACAGTTGATTGTGTGAAATAATTGATCGAGGCGGAAATTCATCCTTTTGGTTTTTATACTAAATTTACCTAGAATTTTTTCTGAAATTATTGGAATTTCTCAATAAATGTTTATTAACGCCAGTCCATTTAACCTCGTCTGCCCAGTTGTGTTTCTCAAACATGTTTTCAAACGTTTAAGGGTCGGAAAAGAGTGTTCGCTAGTCGATGTGGTTACTGTAAGTGGAATGAGGATTTTCAAAAATGTTTAAGTACATGGGAAAATGTTATTATCACATTCACAAAACAATTGCACAGATTTACTTAATCTAACCTAACAGATTTACACTTGTTTTGCCATAAATACAATTCTCTCATGATTTGCATTTCACTTCAGTCTAAATCGTCTTTGTTTTATTAAGAAGTTTGAAATCATTGTCAGTGTCTGAATGAATTATATATCCCGGAAGAAGACACCGAAAACGTTGTAATAAATCACGATGTTTCAAAAATCTACTCTCTACTTGTGTTAAAACATCGTCCAAGAATGGTATGTATACATTGGATCTATAGTAGTCTTCTGCTGTAGTATTTTAATTTAGTGATCTTTTTTGTATTCTGGTTTTTTTTAAAAAAATTAAGATCCAAACTTTTATTTTTATTCTACTCTTCGATTTTCTTGAATTCATTTGAAAATCCTTCAGACTAGTTTCTCCTTAGGTCTTGTAAAACTATTTTTACGTCGTTTGCCATTTTCAGTTTTAATATTTAAATATAATAATATATATTATCAGTTATTACTTTTAAGCATAACTATATAGATCGATATTATCGATCGCCATGCTTTTATTTACTACATAATTTTTATAATTTGATCACTGACTTGATTTATGGGCTAGTATCTCTGGCATCGTTTATCAGTTATTAGTTATTATCACAGCATATATTTCTGATGAGAAATTTTCAGCCGCAAGTTCGAAACTACATATTATGATGATGAACTAAAGATCCAAAAACTAATCACAGTTTGAGAAATAATAAAAAACAAAAGTCCAAGGGGGATGTATCCGCCCTTAAACGCCCCTGTACACGCCACTGGTCAGGGTATCAACCAACACCCTTTGAACATAGTATTATGTATTATCGTATATTTATGCCTGATAGAATAGTTATTTCATCCATGGGCCAAACACTTCAAATAATGTATATTATTTTGTTAAATCGTTATCAAATTGTATACAAAATGAAATTGCTATTTAAACCAAAAAATGGAGGCATTTTAAAATTGTGTGTAATGCAGTACTAATAACTTAGTTAATTGATTATGTACTCGCTTCAACCTAAATATAGACTTTTTTGCGTTTGACAACATTGCGAATTATTAATTGTGCGCCACTGACTTAGTTGTTAAGGTATTAATATCAATTTTCAAGTTTAGTAGATCAAGTTTTTTATACAGCAATTAATTGTATTATAGAGTAAATATGTTACCGAGTCGGTAATTGAAGAAATAAAATAAATGAAAATAAAAATTATAATCATTATACATCGCAAAATAATAATTATGAACAGTTTTACAAAATCTCCGTATGCAAATCAATCATTGACGCTAAAACTTTCACAGGCTACATACTCGTATATACGTACTTCCTTTATGATGTTTACGTGTCGTCCGGTTTAATTTGGCCCGGAGCTGAATACTGCGGAAGGACGACAGCTGGATAATATTAGCCGATCCATAGCGTTAAAAAAAACAGGTTTAAAAAGTGAAATGAATTGGCCATCATGGAAATACGTTTCAATGCGAAAGTAGAAAAAATAAATGTAGCACCCGCTTCTATTAAAAATGTCAATGCGCGTGCGACTAATACGAAGAATATGGAATATGAATATTTTACTTTCACTCATAAAAAACTACTATAGGGTGTTTGTACTTGGTCGGTCGAGTAGTAAACCAATATATAGTATAAAACATATCCGATATAATCAGTAAGTAATAGGTATTCAAAATCATTTCCGATATTACATTATTATAATTTAATTTCAAGGTTTAAAAAAAAAAAAAAATTAGTAACTATAGGTACGTATTAAGTCTGATAAATACAACAAAATTTATATTATAATAATGTTTAGACAAGCAATATAATTTTTAACGAGTAATAATTGGAGGGCGTCTCTAAGTTATTAAACATCAAAACATTTTAATTTCTAAGCTTTCTGCAGTAACGTCATTCTGTATGCTTGGTGACTATAATACTGCGAGCCATGACTAATGACATCTTACATATTGTAACCTTCATGTGCCAAGAATCAGTGAAATTTCATCAACAAATTACTAACGTTTCTTCGTTTCTATATGCAACTATATATAATAAATAAAAAACACCGACCACCAAATATTCATTTTACTCACTTGTCACATAATACAGAACCTTATGTTATAATAACAAAAATGGTAAAAAAAAAATCAAAAAAAAAAAAAAATAAAAACCCATATTCTGCAGTAACAAATAATTTGCTTTATAATGTAATATGAGCAATGTGCATGTTATAGGTCTTTGTGTTTTTAAATAACTAATCATTTCCACGTTAAAATGTTAAAATATGTATTCATATCCACTATTTTTTTCATTTCATTATTCATTTCTATAGATGGATGACATTTTAACGTTTGAACTTGGTTAAAAATCTATTATATCGAAAAAAAAAATGGTTGCACCACCGTTGTAGGTAGGAAGTTGAGAAGGTAGGATACATAAAGTTACTAGATTTATATTTGTAAGCAACGATAAATCACTGGTAACAAAAACCATTTTGGGCAGTGAAATCCGGTTAAAAATGTTTAAAAAATTGAGTTTTAAATGTTTATAAAAACAATTATTACATTCAGTTCAAGTTTTTTTTTTAACAATACATGAAACTTTTGATTAATTTTATGTTAAGTTTTCCAACATTTTAACTTGACCGAATTATTATATCGAAAAATATTAACCAAAATTATACGTGATTTTTAAAATTTTCGTTAAAATTTGAATTTTAAACGCTATCTTAAAAAAAACTACTAAGTTAAGCTTTTTTTTATATGCGTAGGTACTATCAGTAAACAAATAAATATGCAGGAATTATTAAATTTCATTTTATAATCTAGATGGTTACATAGATAATAAATTAGACAAAAATCTACATCAGTCAAATAATTAATACAACAATTAAAGATTAGCTTCATGGATCAGACATCCACCTTGACCCATCACCGGGCGCGTCTCTAATGACGATAGGACAATTGTCCCTCTCTGTTCCATATTTCTATCACAAAATCGTTTATCTTTAATTTTTAAATCCTGATTTCGAAAAAAAAAAATGGTTTTTATAGTTTAACTATTTTATTTGGCGACACGCCAATATTAATTACTATTATAGGTATCGTTTACTTATAATTTTACTTCCTATATATTTAGTTTTATTTATAATTGTACTATCTATGGGTAGGTACATTAAATAGATTAAATTGGTCTCCAAAGACCTAAACACGACCCCGCACGTCGTATGATACAGTGAACTGGTCTCATGACCAAGGCCATTACAGAAAATGAAATTACAAGCAATTGGAAATTCAATACAATTTACAGGGATCATACGAAAAACAACAAAACAAGAAAAATAAACTACGCCCTTCGGAAACCGAATCTCAGAAGCGGTGACACACAATGATATAAATTAAAAATATAATAATCTATCTTCTATAATATTAATGAAAGAAAGTATTTGTTTGTTCGTGTTTCACAGCCAAATTTATCGCACGCAGAAGTCTGGAAATTTGAGTACACATACAGAAGCGGGTAAACGGGTCTGTTTGCGTCCCGAAGTCAGATTTCCGAACCACTCAATAGTAGCGACTGAGACAAATAGTTTTTGGTATTCTAGGAGCGAAAATCGAATTGATTTAGTTGATTTATGGGTAACCTATGAGACACGGATGTCACATAATTATAGAAAAGCTTATTTTATTTTGCGATCGAATTATTGAGACGTAAGAGTTAAAAAAGAAAAAAAAAATAAGCACCCCTTGCAATCAATAAACTTAACCTATCCCGTGTAGGGCTTCGTATTTAACATATTCCTTACACCGGTTCACAAATTTAGTTCAATAATTAATGATTTACGAAAATTGCTTATACAGGATGTAACTGGACTATTTGACATTTTAAGCCTAGCAAGGAATCTGTTGGTTGACGTGTGTTTTATTATTATTTTTTCTGTGTATATACTTTTCTATCAGAAATCCAATTGTCAACTTTAGGGGTGATTTCTGGTTAGAAAATATTGTCTAATTGGTGCAATGAGGTTATTTTCGGATTATTATTGTAATTTTCTTAATTACCCGGAAAAACGGATAATATTTACATAATTACGATTTCTATTATACTCGATTTTCTATAGTCATTTAAGATTTTTAATGTTTTTATTTGGTTTTATGCGAGTAAAACTGTTTCGAAAATGCTCGAAAGTTTAACCCGAGGTTTATCGCAAGTTGCGATTGATGTTAATAAAAATAAATTCGAGTGCAGTCATTTTTTTTTTACAAGCGTTTAGAGTTCGAGTTTTAATGAAAATGTATTGTGATACAAATGAAAAAATATGTACCGTCCCATGCACGGTCCACTTAGAACGAACAATAGAGGTGCGCTAAAATTTCTGAAAAATTAGTTGAAGTACTTCCCCCCCCCTTGAATCGACCGCAGATTATATTACCCGTTTATATTATCCGCGACACGGACAACACGTGGACGAGACGATAAAAAGGGGAACGGGAGACATCGATAGCTAATAAGGGGATGTCGTTACGTGTAATACCAGCCTGTACCCACACAAAACGACAAACTGGAATGCACAGTATCACGTCGACGGAAATTGAAAATGTCAACAACACCAAAATGTATTTCGATTAAAATCAAACTATTTATTCGTTTGCGGAATATTTTTTTCCGTGTAGGTTGCTAATATTTGATGAAAACAGAAAGTCGATATAGGGCATAGCGGTAGTTTCACCGCCGAAAATTAGGGTGGCAAACGTTGACGGCGGCAACGCAACGCATTTTCGTAAAGCAGCTCTCTATTTTTTACAGACATGACGCGCGGGTGTCTCGCGTTACGCCGATCGCCCTGTATACCCGTGACGGATAACGGTGACGGCGTAAACGATACGCGAACCCACGCGCGCGGTCACATTGAAAGTCGATTATGACTTTTACTCGCGCGTGTACCGTATAGGGGACTATTATAGTAAGCAGTCGTAGGCGTTTCGTTCGGTAGTCGGGAATCTCTAAAATCCAGACGATTACGGGCGACGGCGACATTACACCCGATAATAATACACCCGCACGGTAATATTGTATAACAATAATATTATTTTATCGTGACACCGGTGAACAACGAAAACGGCGGCGGGTCTACCGCGGAAGAACGGCGAAAATAATACGTGTACGCGTACGTCGCAACCGAAGCGGAACGTGTAATAACGTGATAATAACACGGCGTTGGCGGGTCTGCGTCGGACGATCGCGTGCGATGTCGTCGCGGACGAGTTTTTTCCACATCGGCGGCCCCAGGGGGACGGGTCCGTCGGCAGCCGCTCCTGCGGGTCCCAAGGGTAACCGACGGCGGCGGCCAGTGGCGTCGCAGTGGCGGAAAGTAAAAGTGCTGCCGTCGTCGTCGTCGTCGTCGTCATCGTCGTCGTCGTCAACGTCGTCGGTCCGTCCGCACACCGGTCGACCCGGCGCGGCGCGGCGGACGGACGGGTAGGGCGGACCGGACGTCTCGTGTGCCCACCTTCCCCGCTATATATATAACAACGATCCGGACGCGGCGATGTGCGATTCGTATGATACCGACCGGTCGAGAGCAAAGAGAAGACGCCGTCATCGTAACGCATACAAAACCGTGAACCGCGTACGGATGAGGACGTGAACTGCGCACCGTTTTCGTACACATTATACACCCGCGTCGAGTTTTCCAATTTTTCCATTTTTTTTTTTCCGAGGACAGCGGTAATAATTCCGCACCAGACATGTTGTTGAAAATAACGCCGGTAAGTCATTTTAAAATAATTACGGCGTTCCCGTCGCATTCGATCGCAGGGTTCCTATACACACGATGGAATAGAATGTACAGACGTTATTTTAATGGGGGGTTTTTGTTTTATTTAAGAATTTTCAAAACAGAATTTTGCAATCAAGATATCTGTGGCTAATTCGAAAAAAAAAACAAGGCCGGGCATTAACGAGTTGATAAATTAAAAAGTTCAGTTAATTTAATTTTTCGACTTAATCAGTGTTTTGGACTTTCAACTTAATTGTTAACTTGATAAATACAAAGGAATTGACTTTTAGTTAACTAGAGTTAATTTTATATTTAGACAAGTTGAGTTGATTTCAATTTCTTTTTGTATGCTCATATTAATAAATATATAATCATTATCAAGATGTTATGAACGTTTTAAAATACGATTCGTTATGAATGCCTGTTATCTGTTACTGTTGTCGCCGGTTTTGGTGAACTTCTAACTTGGTCGAATTGATAGTTTATTTCGAATTAACTTTATTTGAATTTAAATTCAATTTAACTGAGTTGAAAAAAAATCACGAACTTGCCCGACCTGGGGGGAAAAAGCCGAACGATTTCGAATTCGAAAGTTTCCCCGTTATCGTTATCATGCACTACGCACCGTTTTGTCGTTGATTTCATATTTACCGCGGTTATGTAAATCGTATCGTACAAGGTTCGTCAAACCGTTACAGATAGAAATTATTGTAATCGCGGGATTTTCATTTAGAGCTACGCGAAATGCGTCCAAACGCGCGTTGAAATAAACTCCGATAGAATTACGGCATGCTCGCGGCGATATTGATATGTGCGCGGGCAGGCGATTGTTTTCGTTATATTATTTGTCGGCGAATTTTTTTTGTTTTTCTTTACACGGAATCGAATTTTACCGCGAAAACTCTGACGTATTAAGTCCGCGCACCCCGAAAATACCGAGACGCACAGCATAAATCACTGTTTGCGGTATAATCTGTGACCTCAGGTAATTTACACGCGTTCGATGCGGGGACGATATTATCCTATGTACAGAATTATGCCATCAGTATAAACGCGAGACACTGGTAGTGAAATCGGCAGTCTACTCTGATGACATATGGGAAATTTCTACATTTTTGTATGTTATCGTAAAATATCATCGGAACGGTTACATTTGTCTGCTGTGTTATGTGCGTATATTCACACGTTCAGGAAGTAATTGTGTTGTACGTATCTAATACACGTGTCTGTACGCATTACATATTTTATGCGATATCCATACATTTCTTTCATACAATACGTATAAATATTATGCGTTTAGTCAAATGTACTCCGCGTGGCGTTTAGCTATTTATCTATTTTGGAACAAGACGACTATAGCCCGCAGTGACCACTTGAAGTGCGCACGTATAAAATCAAATAAACGGACACAGTTTTTTCATTACTCAATTTGCCGTCTAATTATTAACGAACGCAATAATATAATAGTTCATATAATTTATTAACGAATATCGTTTTGCTAGTGCGTATGTGTATAATATAGAAAGCGCTACAGAAAGCGAACAGATTAAAAACTATTCGCCATTAAATAATATTCAAATATTGTGCTTACTATGAAAATCGTGTAGTATGTAATAGTAAAACATTGTTTTTAATAGACATTTAACAATACCTAATGAATAATAAAATAATAAAGTAAAAACAAAATTAACTGATTAATGGTCAATGGTTAAATGGTTATTATTAAATAACTTAACTTGACTTAATAAGTTAATAGTATTAAATTCGGACGACGCATTTATTTATTCGTATATTTAAATACCTAAAAAACACCAATGAAACAATATATTTTTTCTTATTTTTTAGTGAACGATTTAAAAAATCCTCAGTAACTTCTCGCGGGTAATTTCTTATAGTTACTGTCTGTGGACTGTAACAGTAAATATTATGTATTTTATTTAAAACATAAAATTTGGATTACGTATATTTAAAATTGTACCTAGTAGCTAGTCAAATAATTAATTAAATTATAATAAAACAGAAAGACATTTAACGGTGCTTGTACATGGATTTTTTAAAGACGGTTTCGTGTGAAAATGTTAAAAATAATAACTATTTATTGATAAATAAATATTAAAACATTTTTTTTTTTTAATATCATAAATATTTAAATTTGGGTACTAAAAATTTTAAAATTATTTTATAACTATTTATAATACTATTATACATCATTACTTATTAGTTATTAGGTACTATACACACGAAAATTTATCTGTTTTAATTTTAAAAAGTTAGTTACCTATATTTAATTATTTTCTAAAGTACCTACATAGTATATGGAAGTATCCACGAGAAGTTACTAGGGATTTTTAAATCGTTCACTAAAATAGGACAAATATTGTTTTATTGATATTTATTAGGTATTGTTAAATTTAGAGTAAACAATATTTTACTAATTTACTATAGACGAAAGTAGGTACTATGCGTATTGTATGCGTAGGCACATTAACGAGCACATTATTATTATTACCTATATTAGACTTATATTCAGATACTCGATATTTTGGCCTGCTGGAACGGTTAAAAAAAAACACCGTTTACCAAACTTACTTAAGAACAAACAAATAACAAAATAAAATATACGTTTTTTTTTCGGGTAAAAAAAAAAAATATAAAACAATTCGTATATTTATTCGCAGCACAAACGTTTTATTAAAGTACGATTTCAAGCCACGGAATATTAATTGTACTATCGCCTAATAATCGATAAATCAAATATTAGTGAAAGATGCCCATATTGTAGAATACACGTTAGCTGTAGTTTGAGCGGTCGGTATAATAATAATATTATAAATTATAATGATCGTTGAAAAATAAAAACAGATTAATATACGAGCCGTCCGAAGAAAACGAAACGTTTGTACTGTCCATACGGGTAATATAAGGTAAAATATATAATATATTTGCGACTGAGTAAATTGGAAAGAAGAAAATCGGAAAGTATTACCGAGTGTAGTAATAATAATAATTGTTTATAGCATAAACAGTTTATTCGGATAATGAGTTTCTACGTAGACGAAACAGGTATAAAAATCGTTTTAACGCAAATTAACGCGAAGAGATTGATTATAATCAAATATAAATCGAATATATCATTAGTCGAGTTTAATACAGCTATGCTTTTTAATAGAGGTAGTTCAGTGGTGTAGTTCAATTAATTTACATTAATTATGGGTAATTAATGACATTTTCAAAACTAAAAATAGTCACAGAATAGAAAGTTTAATGAAAAAACGTATAAGTATAATAGCTGTTTTAATATACACTATTTTACAGTGTTCAGAATTTTCGTGTTTCAGTAATTTTCCCGTATAAACATGCAAGATGGAGAAAATTACTGGAATACACAATATTCTGATCACTCTGTATAACATAATATATAAATAGCACTATACGTGTATACATAAAACCAATAAATACAACGTAGGTGTACTTCTAAAAAGAAAATAATAGAGGTACATAATAATTATTATAATCACAATTTAATAATAGAAATGAAAATAAAACACTATTTATTTTGATTTACATATTATAAGCCAGATAATCGGTTATTTTTAAGTATAGGTCCTTAATGTGTTTTTTTTATAAGAACGTTGAATTTTAATACAACGTAATATACCGTAATATAACGTTGGTTGTTTCGATTTTAATTAGCATATAGAGTTTAACACAAGAGGGATGTCCAACTAACAAAACCAAAAATAATCATTAAGCAAACTACAAGGCAAATGAAAAAAAAAGGCTTTCCCAATGAGCCGAATAGATAGAAAAATGCCACAAAAAAGTTCCTATTCACATTTATGATTGGCGAAAAATTTTCGGTAATAAATACACCTACGAGTTGAACCAATACATGTATCGGTTCGCTTAAAATCTAAAATCATATACAGTGCAACCTTTAAATACCGGACGACCTCGGTCATCGTAATTTTGTCCGTTATTGAGAGGTGTCCGCTATTCAGAGGGGAAAAAAACAACTCGGAGAAATTAATAAATATATAACAACACTTATGTATGCAATATGTACATTTGTATTATTTTGAAACAAATATTAATTGTACACATTATTATTATGTATGTAAAAATATTAATGAAAATGTAAAGAGAAATTATTTTAGGATAAAAATTAACATTTATTGAAAAAAAATCAGTTCCTTTAGCTTGTTTAAGACCTTGATTTGTCATAAAATTGTCCGGTATTTAGAGGTTTTCCTATAGAAAAGTGGTGAAAATGTCCCCCGTTCCCGAAAAATCGTCCACTATTTGGAGGTGTCCGTTATTTAGAGGTGTCCGTTAAGGGAGGTTTCACTGTGTTCAACCTCATCCGCGGTAGTTAATTTATTTGGGCCATTCGGTAAATATGTGATTTACAAAACTCCCTTTATGATTTTATAGAATTAAACTACGTTATCCGGGTATACGTGTTTCCACATGACTCTAACTGTAAATAACGTGTCAAAATACCGGTCATTAGTTAGCTACTTATCTGCATGACACATTACGATAAATACAAACTTAATTTCCACTCTAATCTGCTACATCGCATCGCCTTACCGACGTTTTTTAATACAAGACAATATTTAAAAATCCATTTACATTCATTGAATGTCTTCCTACTTAAAAATAACGTATTTAATTATTCGACTCGCTAGATCCAGTTTGAAATTCAAAGTATATAATCCGTGTAATCGATGTTATGCTATAAATCTAATAATTATTCACTGTACAAGTCCGCGGAATAACAACGGTATATTATACGATTTCCATAGTACGTACAATATTCCGATATTATTTAATACCGAATAATTTTCAATTCGTTCGTATTCACTTTCTATTACTACCAAAACATTTCGTTGTAAACAGAAGAACACGTCACACTAGACGGTACATAATATTGCACATGTTTATCTTGTAGAAGGTCCATTTCTTAAAAATCGATTAGTGAAAGGTTTAAAGCTTCGCGTTTTTACGCGACCGGAATAACATTTCCATTTCGCTTAATAAACCGGAATAATCATTAGTTTACACTAAAGAACTATACAGCCAAACGGTTTCTGTAGTTTTTTTTTTTTTTTTATTTTTCTGTTTGTCTGCCGCTACTTAAAATATCACGTATTGCGCAATAATATAACGCACAAATTCTATACTAAGACCCGAACAATTCCCGAATAAAAGAAAGTCCTGTCAAGTTTTGCGTACATCTGTGGCTAATGAATGGAATTTGAAATACACAGCGAACCGATTTAAATAATCTACCGTGCTATAGTATTGTATTACGCGTATAATATAATAATAGATGAACGCAAATAACGCAATAAAATAATAATTGTACGTAAGATTATGTCATTGCGTCTCGCGGACAACTATGACGTGAGCCATTTTTACCATCGTGAGCTATGTACACGGTGGCGATATTGTAATATTTATATTGTTTTATATAATAAGAGAATATCAAATAATAAGAACGAACGCGTGAATTTCGTTAAAATATGCTTCGTATGTTATTATAAATTCAATTCAATTCTGTATTTCTTTCAACTACATATAGGCACATTGAGATAGTGTTACAAATGCCGTTTCGTTAAAAGAATATATTATTATAATCCGTGTATGTAATTTATACACGCGGCTGTGCGTAATGGATAAGATATACTCGAATCGGCGGCGTGTCCAGGAGTTTCCGATGGAAGGGGATGCAGCAAAATGTAATAATTACGAACGAATCGCGAAGAACCTGCCTATATAAGTATATCTAAATCGACGATGGGAATCGAAAGGCCGGATTTTAAAAATACGATTCTTCCGAATCTCCCGTGTAATATACACAAGATTAAACAAATACTCACAAGTATTGTCCTTTTAAGCCGATTGGGGAACATAACTCCGAAACTTCTTCCCGCGCGCACGTGCTACTGACTTAGATCCTGAAGTAAAATTAAAATATTAAATATTAATTCGTTAGAATTTAAATTGAATTACATATTAGGAATCGATTGATACTTTTATTTTTAATAATTCATGAACCGTCGCAATATTATGATTAAAATTGAAAATTGAAAATTATCATAGCACAAATCTTACTTAGAACGTTCACAGTTGTCGGTTAAATTTTAATAAAAAATTGTAGGTTTATTACGGTTTTGAAAAATGTAGTTTGATTTTTATATAGAATCTATAGATAGTAACTCTGATGTGTAAAGCCCGGATTATTGTGTTAAACAAAAGATGAAATATGTTAAAAATTGGCGTAATATTAAATGCACTACATTTATTTATACAAATAATAATAATAAACATCAAAATATGCTTCAATATGCAATTTTTTCTTTTAAAAATTTATAAGTCTAAAAATTAATCATAATTATAAAATAAAACACAAATACACTGCAATATAAAATTAAATTGACTGTGGCGTTAAATACGCAAAACAAAATATGTATTTGATAATTTGATAAATAAGTAAAAATAATCATTTATTTTAAGTAAGAACAGATTAACCATAGTATTTTTTTTCCTGTGAACTTAGTGTTGAAGCAATACATTTGTTACTCTCATTAAATTGTTTATACCCAGTGATGAAAAAAACGTATTTTTAAATAATTAATTGAAAGCTAAAAAAGTTAATTTATTTGAAAAAAATTTCAAGAATCTAACGTAAAGTCCATTATAATTAGAATGCAATACATTTTTCTGATTTTGACCCTTTCTTACACTAAGTCACAGAAATGTATTTGTTATCATTTTTTAAAATTTAGTTTAGTTTAAAATTTGTAAATTCAAAAAACTAGTTTAAATTTAAATCTTTATCGCTAATAATCGCACAAACTAACTATTGATATTTCGAAATAATAAAAAATTAGTATAAAACTGTAATTTTACATAGGCAATTATTTTCCATATTTTTCTTCTGTTTTTCGCCGAAACATATGAAATAGAATAATTGAGGAAAAAAGTAATTTTTCGAATTAAAAGTTAGTGATCTTTCAAAAACAAGTTTTATTCGGTTAAATGTTTACACGTCAGTTTTATGTAAAAAAATGTATATTGTATTTGTTTATAAATGACAAGGGGCAATCGATAGGCGATATACGTACATTCGTGTGAATAATGTTACTAATTGTGTTTTAGATTTTGCTGGCGGCATGCTTGTGCACTTTCGGTGCCGTGAATGGAGCGGATAAATCACAGCCTTCCATAGAAAAAAGAGACTCTACTCAAGGTTATGGTTCGTACGTCAGTTACGCTCCGGCTGTAGATTACGGGGCTCCGGTTGGACAAGAGGCTTACCAGTACGCCGCGGTGGCACCGATCACCACAGGACAATACGACGCAATACCAGCGGCAGCTGCTTTAGTGGTTCCCACCAACCAGCTGTTCTACCCACAGCCGCAATCGTATGGATATCCGTCGGCCGCGGCTTACAGCGCCCCGCTGACTTATAGTTCTCCACCCACATCGTATGATTACCAGTCAGCTGGCTCTGTTTACAGTTCGGCACCGGCCGCCTCTGCTTACAGCCTGCCATCGGCCGCCGCTGCTTACAGCTCACCATCTACCGCCGCTCCTTACAGCTCACCGTCGACCACCTCCACTTATAGTTCACCTTCGTCCTCTTCTTCTTATAGCTCGTCATCGGGTTCGTCCGCGTATAGCTCACCGTCAGTGACCGCTGCCGCTTACAACTCTCCGTCCGCCGCGTTCAGTTATGGCGCGTCATCGGCTTCAGTACCGTATAAATCGGGCCCCGTTACTTTCGGAAAACCTGAAACCCTCGCCGACTCGTACGTGTCTTACAAACCATCGACGTCATACGACAAGCAAACTTACTCCGCGCCGTCGTACCAGTCATCCCCGGGACTAGGAACTTACGTTTCGTCCACGATCAAGACCAACAAGTACCCGTCATCACCGTCTTTTAGCCCGTCCACGTCCGGCGAATACTACGCTGCACAACAATCGTCGTCGTCATACGCCGCCGCTCCGTCCAAGCCCGGCTACTCTTCGTACATTTCGGATAGCGCGTACAATAAATACAAGTACCCGACTCAAGCTTCTTCATACGGTAGTGTACCGTTCAAACCCCTCAACTATAAACCGTCTGCGTCATACGAATCTTCAGCCTCTTCATACGGACAGTCTTCGTTGTCGTACGAACAACCGTCTTACCCGTCTGCGCCACAAAAATACGCAGGTGTCTCGTCACAATACGGTTCTTCGTCTGCATACGGTTCTTCACCATCTTATGGTTCCTCATCGCCGTACAAACAATCTTACGAGTCGTCTTCCCCGTACAAACAGTCTTACGAGTCGTCTTCCCCGTACAAACAATCTTACCAGCCGTCTTCCCCGTACAAACAGTCTTACGAGTCGTCTTCCCCGTACAAACAGTCTTACGAGTCGTCTTCCCCGTACAAACAGTCTTACGAGTCATCTTCCCCGTACAAACAGTCTTACCAGCCGTCTTCCCCGTACAAACAGTCTTACGAGTCGTCTTCCCCGTACAAACCATCATACGGTTCGGCTCCGCAAAAGGTGACATACGGTTCGGCTCCGTATAAGGTGACATACGAATCATCGTCCCCGTACAAAACATCATCGTATTCTAGTGGTTCGTCTTACGGTGGATCACCAGCGCCATATAAATCGCCTTATTACGGTACCTCTTCTTACGAAGGATCTCAATCCTCGTACAAATCACCGTCTTCAGTAGTCTACAGTAGCCCATCTAATGAAGGATCTTCATCACCATACAAGTCGTCATCCTACGGTAGTTCATCTTACGACGGATCTGCGTCTCTTTATAAATCTCCGTCTTATAGCAGCTCCTCCTACGATGGATCTTCGTCCCCCTATAAATCACCGTCTTATAGCAGCTCCTCTTACGATGGATCTTCGTCCCCTTATAAATCACCGTCTTATAGCAGCTCCTCTTACGATGGATCTTCGTCCCCTTATAAATCACCGTCTTATAGCAGCTCGTCTTACGACGGATCTTCCTCCGCTTACAAATCATCACCGCCTTATTCATCTGGTTCGTTTAAGCCAATACCGTCTTCCTATTCACAGAGCGAATACGATTCGTCGGCGTTATCTCCTTATAGCCAAAAACAAAATGCATACGAATACAGTTCTAAATATTGACACTTAACACAATAATGTTCCTCTTTAGACAAATGTATTATATAATGATAAAAAAAGTTTAAATTATACGTTTCAATTAAACGTATATATATTTTTTTTAAATAAATAAATTATACAATTATTAAGTTATTCTAGAACTGTTTTATACGATTGAAATATCTTCGCTATTTCACAAATATTGGTTTTTTTTTCTATATTAAGCTCTTTATTTAAATTATAATATATGTATTTATGTATGTATTAGTGTTATACTTTTATAATGTATAAGACATGCGTGTAACGTAGTGATAATTTTATTTGGTCCAAGATTTAAGTTAACCAAAATCAAACATTATATTATAAAACAAATATAATTAATGATATTTTGTTTAATATTAAATGGTTAGTATGTTTTTTTTACAGCTGAATATTGTAAAATACTAGATACGCACCATTGGTCATCAATGTATATGTACAATATTTTATAAAACATTTATTTAACTGAAATGTTAAATAATGTTACATACACCATACAGATGGTAAGTCATTTTCTTTTCCTTTTTTCCTGTTTTCCTTGAAAATTCATGGAGTAATATAGTTAGTTATCTATATTTTATAATATAAATATATTTCATGCGTAAAGTTGTTAAAAGCGATTAGTTTTTTCATACATATAGACCGATTAGCTGAAGTAAAATTATTAGTTGCTCTAAAATTATTAAGTCATGAAAATATCAGTTTACTATAAAAACAAATAAAAACCAAGAAAAAAAATGTACAACATTTAGATGACGAGCCCCGTGGATAAAAGAGATAATTAGTGTTATAATATATTTGAAGTTATAATTTAGAATAGTAGAAAGAGGAATATTTAAAGAGTTAAGATAGACAAATAGAGTAAGGCATTTAATAGATAGAGAGGGGCAGTCAAAGAGGATATGGTATAAATTACAAATATACTCTCCACCATATGAAGCGTACACAAAGGAGATCTATTAATTAAAAGGTAAAAGTAAGAGTAAAAAGTAAAAGGTGAAATTTAGAAATTAATATCAGAAGATCATTGAAAGACTAGATTATTAAACCAAATTTATTTTAGGGATTCAATGGCAATAGATTTAAATCTAGATGCAAAATTAGCAGGAAAATCATTCCAGTATAGGTGTACCTGAGAATAGACACGAAACCATTATTTTCGTAAACTTTCCCGTTCTTTCTAAGTTTCTACCAGTTTTGCTCAATTACTAAGAAGACTACACCAATAATTAAAGAACGACTTTCATACTCATTAACTAGATCTAAAATCCAATAAAAAAGATCACTTGTCGTTTTTCGAACGGAGAAATATTTCTGGTAGAAAACATAAAGCAAATAATAATTTAAAATAATGAAATCGGTAATGTCGCGGCGCGTCGTAAGTATTTGACATTTTTCACTATACATTTTTTCTGGTTATTCTCAAGTATTATGAAAACTCCTTGGAAAATCAAAAAATGTCCTCCACAATGTATTAACTGAATTGAAAATGCAACAAAAAAGGTTTCTTGTCAATTTTCGATTGGAGCAAGACTTCTGGTCGAAAAATCGTTTCCAGGCAGAAAGAAAACCAGATGATGAAATGAAAACCAAACGAACAGACGATTACTAAAATATATAGACAATAATTAAAATAATTAAAATATATATTAAAAATTGAAATTGGGCGAGTGTTTAGTTGAAATTGTAGGTACCGACCGTACCTATTACCGTATATATTTTATAATCATTTACTATGTAAATATATTTTATTGGATAAAAAAATTCGATTTTACTCGTAAATTTGTAGTCTTTTAGGTTTTTATTTTAAACTTTAACTGTAAACAAATTAATCAACAAGTTACTAATTAAATATTTTTATTACCAATTGTATACAGAGAAATAACATAGTTTTTCAGTTTTTTTTTTTTTTTTTGTTTATTGCTCACAAGGATATGAACTATAAATATTTATATTTCAACTATTTTCTAATGTTTTGGTAAACAAATTTAAACAATTACTTTTATTTTATAATTTTTGAAAAATGTGAAGATATTTATTTTATAGAGTTTTTTAATTTGAAAATTGTGACGTTACAATTTTCATTAAAATCGTGATTTTTTAAAGTTTAGAAAAAACATATACAGTCAATATTATAGTTAGGATAATATTAATAATATTATATTAGATATTTTTCCGATTATTTATAATTATACAATCGGCTATAATCTCATTTGCTAATTTAATATTATTATTATGGGTAATTATCTGTACATGTTTTTTTCTGAACTTTAAAAAATTATTAAAAATCACGAATTTAATGAAAATTTAAAGTTGAAACTTCAACATTTTCAGAAAAAATAACTCTGAAAAATGTAAATCTTTAAATTTTTCAAAAATAATAAAAAAAAAGGTTTTTTTAAATTTTTTTACCAAAACATACAAATTTAATTCAAATACAGATATGTTTAGTCCTTATCCCTGTGAGTAATTATCTTTATTACATCCGGTGAAATTATTATTGGTTATATTTTCGTGGGTTATCCTGTATAATAATTTGCTCGCAAAAAAATAAGACATTTTATACTTGTGTACAATTTTTGATCCACTAACTTACGACTCGACCAACTTGAAATTATCCATGCTATGATATTTACTTGATGAAAATAAAATAATTAATAATAGGATTTTAGCTGCAGGTATTCATCCCTTTTACCCTTTAGAGTTTTTGTGAAAAAACCGTGAAAATATCGGAAAACGCTATGTACAATTATTGTTCGTGCAAAATCCGCTATAAAAAATCGTCAATTATATTTTTCATTTTCCCAAAAGGTGCGAAAAAATAATTTCCATCTCATATGACTAAAATATATTGTAATACAAAACTATGGTTATAAAACGAACCGATAATAACAAATTGAAAATGATAATAAAAATATTTTCCCACGTACACCTATCACGAGAACATCGAAATGACAACGTTATAAACCAACATTATTTATTCGCCGTTAAATTTCTATTGTAAATAATGATGATTTTTTTTACCGAAACCGGTTGTATTTATATACATAACCTTTATAACATTCCAGGTTTTGATTTGTTCCTTTTCTACTTATTTATTTCGGTGTGTTGCCGGTGTACGTCCAAATTGCTTCCCGGCAGAAATGGATCCAAGATTCGCCCAATTTGTACCCAGTGATCCATTTAAGTGGGTACACTCATTATCTCGGAAAGTATTAACTCTTTCCAGAATTTGTTTTCTAGAACATTTAAAATTCAAACTGCTCTAGACTTTTATATTTATGTTTTTGTTTGTCACCCTTTTTCTGGGGGGGTAAAACCACTACCTACTTTCAATTTTCAAATGATAACCTATATTAAAAATCCCACAAAAATGTCAACATTAAAATTTATTTTAACTAATACCCTATCTATTTATGGATTTTTAAATATAGATTGTCATTTGAAAATCAAAAGTAGGAAGTGGTTTCACTCCCAAAAATAAGGGTGATGAAAAATAACATGAATATAAAATTGTAGAGCAGCTTGTTTCTTAAATGTTCTAGAAAACAAATTCCAAAAAAAGTTAACATTTTCTGAGATAACGAGTGTATTCACTTAAATGGATCACCTGGTATGTACATTATACAAGGTGATTCTTATCGCATTTTTTTTTTTTGATATTTTAGATTTTGAACGGAACGAAGAATGTATTAATTTTACAATGGTATTGATTTGTTTGCTTTTTTTTTTTTTTAATTGTGAACAACTTTTATACCGGAAATCGCTGCGTATAAGTTCACATTAAATTATCTTCTATATCATACCTTTTAAACTTCTCAACTACAACAGGGGCCCACCCATCGTTTGAAGTATGTCTGTCTTTTTTTTATTATTTACTTTTTAGTTATTTTCATAAGTACGGTTTTTAATTTTTTTTTTTATCACATTAATATTATTAATTAATACTGCGAAATATTTTATCTATCTCACGGGAAATTTAATAAAATCGTTTAATTATATTACACGGACGTATTTAGTGAGGGTCCGTGGGGGGCATTGACCACGGGCGCCACGTTTCACGGGAGCATAATAATCTTTCGAGACATTGTAAAATAGCACTTTTTAAAAATATTAAATTAACCTCATCTCACAATTTACACTTATTTAACAGGGCCTAAGATAATGTGTTTAACAGCCCAAAGTGTGTACAGTACAAAACGTTAAGCGTGCAGCTTGAAATTCCAATAAGTTCCAAAAAAATGTGTTTTATGAAAGGATATTATAAAAAACAACGTCCCATGGTGCTAAAATGCTAGAAATGTATACATTTCACTGATATATTACATGTTTAACTGCGTCGTACAATTTATAAATTAGTTTTTTTTTTTTTTTAAATTTAATTTCTAATACGTTGCACAATAATATTTAGTTTTCTTTTGTATACAAATTGAATTTGTTGTTATAATACGAAACCAGTAATACTATGTTCGATCTTATTATTATTCAATAGCAATATGATGTCAAAACTAAACAAAAATACTCATCCACGACCTTGCTGTCGTTAGAAAGTAGTTTCCAGCAATACGACGCGAAATCAATTGTTTTTTTTTACTATTTTTTTTTTCTGCATACCTTTTACTTCTCCGTTTTCTTCGATATTGGTTTCGAACAGGAATGCAATGTTATCCAACGTTAAATGTATACAATATCGTATGGTTGACGTCGGTTAAAAAAAAAAAAAAAAAAAGCAATTAATATTTATATTGAAATTTTCGAATAGCGGGCACTTTCGGTAACTTTCGTCCGTTATTCAGAGGGGGTCAATTTTTGAAATTATTCATCAATGGTAAACGTGTAAAAGTCGAAATATGTATGCGCTAGGTTAAATTCATTAGTGTATAATTTTATTATGTGTGTTATGTATATTTAATATTTTCACGAGGCGATACATTTTAATGTACTATGTATTTTATGTATGTAGGCATGTATAATAACAGTAATAATAACCTCGTAATCTAATTTTTCCGTTCCATAACGATCGTGTTATCGGTATACTAGTGTGAGTGCGTTTTGATGTCGTGTTTTGTCATTATTTTTAATTCGGAGATTTTTCCCATTAAAAAGTAGTGGGAATGTCCTAGTTTCCAAAAAAGAAAAAAAAACATCCGCTATTGGGAGGTGTCCGTTAGGGTACATTTCACTGTGTATACTCGTATACATATATATTTATTTTTTTTTGCGAATAAAATAATTTTGTTTTATGAGATGACGAAACTGTATTCAAAACAAAATTTACGTTATTCAATATCCATATTAACCTGCAGTACTTACACTAATAATGGTCGTCGATACACATAATTTAATTTTTGTAACCAAATTACCGACGGTAATCATCAATAGAACAACAATGGGGCTAATACACGATGATGGATAAGACGTGGATTTACGCACATTGTTCCGGTTGCAAAAAATCTTACTTACGCCATAGGAAAATAATTATATTATTTGTTTAATTTTTTTTTTTTCTATGACAAATTGTCTTTCTTGTTACCTAGGCGATTTTATGTCTCATATGTAAACAATGCCGTTTCTCTTTTTCTCCTTCTCAAACGAATTTTATATCGTTTTGTTGCAAACGGCATTACTTTTCAACATTTTTAGTTTTTATTATAACTGAATATTAAATAATAACAAGTATAAATATATCGACAAAAATGTTTACGTAATGATAACTTATATATTATAATAATAACAATAATATTTAATTTAAGTTTTATTAACGGATTTATTTGGGATAATTCAATCCATAACTGTGTGCAACCATAAAAAATGAAAAACCATTCTAAAGTTCGGTTAATCATTTTTTGATGAAGTTTAATTGAAAATTGAATTAATTTATAATTTAGGTTTGCGAATTTTAACGTAGTTATATTTTCAAAACATTCAGGCGATTTTTTAAACATTGGATATTTTTGAGTCTTATATTTTTGTAAAACTTTTTTTGGCTTCTCAAAAATGTTTGAAATTTTGGTACTAGATTTATTACGGGTACATAACATTATTCTTTTGGTATTATAAAAAGTCAAGGTTTTTTTGATATGAGCGTTTAAAGTTAAAATATTGATCAAAATCATAAAAATCACGACATTTGGTGTATGAGTCGTATGTAGATACTGTTTTCCGATTTACGCTACAGCAATTATTTGGCCCGGCAAAATTACTAAAAATCGTACAAGGTTTCATCATAACCGGCTATACCATTGGTAAAAAATAAGTTGAGCGTAATGTTGTCGTAATTATCCCTGACTATTGTACTTTATTATGTCTGTGGCGTTGTGTATGTCTATTTCTTGGCACGTTTGAACACGTTAAACAGCTCTGAACGAAAAGAGTTCAAAATCGAAAAATACGATTTTTTTTATATGGGGATTAAAGGACACAGCAATTTTAGTTAAATTTCAATATGAACTTCTCCATGTTGTTGCTGAAAGAAAGTGTTTTGTTAACTTTTGAACTTAGACCCCTGCAGACCTTCCAAATGAAGCCAGGGATACAATTTTGTATATACATGGTATACAAGTGTAAAGGATGTGCCTTTGGATGGTTTTACATTTCAATCCCCTCTCCAATCATCGTTATGCTTAGATTTAATGTTTTACAGGAAATACCGGATTTAAAACACAAATTTGGGAAAGTTAGTAACTTGGTTACAATTTGTGTATACAAATAAAATTTCTAGCAAGAATGTTTTTTTAAAAGGTTAGAACCACCCCGCCGTCTCTACTTGTTGGATGTTTTCAAAAATCTTGAGGACTATTTTACCTATTAATATTTTAAAAAGATAAAAATAAAAAATAATTTTAGGATAATAGAGACGGGTGCAGCTACTGTCATAGGTAATTTAATGGATATCTGTAAGCAACGATTAACCATTGCTAACGAAAAAACGATTCTGAGTTCGGTTGATAGTGTTGCTTTTTAAACTATATAATATCATATCATATTATGGTAAAATAATTACATAGGTATGCGTTGTATATTTTCTTTGATAATATTTGTTTAATATTGTATACCTATTTTTCCGTTTTTTCTACGTTGTTCCCATTTAATGGGAAAACTATTAAGAAAATCAAAAAATAATTTCCTTAAAGTACCTACCCAGTCTGATTTCCTTCATCGTAAAATCAATACATTCCTCGCTCCACTCAGAATCTAAACTACGAATTATTGTCACGGCCACAAGTTTGCTAGGGGAACTTAAGTGACGAAGATCTGCAGCCTATTATTTTTTTTTATACGCGTTTTAAATACAAATATTAGTATTATTTCAATTTATGTGAATCAAATTTTTTTGGCTTCATTAAAATGCTAAATAACTCGAGTCGGTGTAAAACACGGATAATTTATTAAAATCCAATTAATTGAACATTATTCAGATTATTTTTTAGCCATAATATATCGTATAGTTTTAATTTAATTTCGAAACGATTAAATTTAACTAGTCTACGACATATTATAATATAAACCGATAATGGCCAATGACGACACGTACGTATAATTATAGCATATTACTTCTATTATATTTATTTACGATATTATTATATTCATCGACACAAAAGAAACAAATACCTAACCTATACCTTGTAACTATATAATATTGCGTTTGACCAATTTCTCCGGACCGTTTTCTTTAAAAATGACAAAAACTTTCAGTATACAGGTGGTGTGGTACGTTAGTAGAAATGACATTGCCCGTGACTTGGCGCGTTTACCTCCCGCGATCCGTGAACCTATTGAATTACATCGGCGAACACGACAGAGGGGGAAAGATCATAAAGGTGTTACACATTGCTTACTTCGATGAAAGCGATTTAAATTACCGGCAATCTGCAGAATTTGAGTTCTCTCCCCACTTAAGATTTCCCACGTGATCGCCAGGGAAATACATCTCGAGCAATGTAGCCCGCGGTCATTTTTGCACGTTTCCCGGCTCCAATAGCGTGTGGACAGTGATCGCGGAAAATCCGTATTCTATCAAAATGTTACCTACATTTGCAGTAAGTACACGTATATATTTATAAACATACAATTTTAAAACCTATCAAGTTTAATATTATAATTTTAAATTATGTATTTTATATTAGAAATATAAAATCACTACACTTATAATAGAATATTTTGATAAAAAATTCGGGTTTCGTGTTTACATTTTGATACTGAACACGAATTATATTGAATCGCTACTGAATAATATACTCGATTTTCACAAATAAATGGTATAGAGTGATACGTTCGATAATATTCAATTTAGAAAATATGAAATAAAAAACATAAAACAACTAAATAATAACTAGTGTATTACAAGTATTTTGTATACAAACGCTCTTTCTGTACATATTCGATCATTTTCGAAAAAATGTTATCCGCGTATAACAAAAAACCTAGAAAATACGATTAGAAAATGCTAGTAGTAAAAGAATTCGGTGTAAAATTCAGGTATCTACGATTATTTCTTATTGAATTACAACAGAATATAAAACAGAAATCATTTTTGCATCAAAATTCCCGTCTTCCGACGTTTTTTGCTGGGTTTTTTTTAAGAATTATTTAAAAAAGCGTCAACCCTAATGCATTTGATATTAGAAATTACCCTTGAAGTTTATTTCTAGTAGACAAGTTGCTAACAGATTAAAAACACATCTTAGTAAAACCAATTGGTATATTCCTTGCTCCATTCAGAAGGTAAATAGATCACTTAAATGTTTAGTTATAGCAAAGAAGTACAAGTAAACGGAAATAGTTTTTATTTAAAGTACTTTTCGTTTATTTAGGTATCTATCAAGTTTAACATTTCAACTAGGTACAGTATTAGGTATTGGTTGTTAATACACGATTCATTCCCGAATCTGAATGTAGATAGGTATAGATGTAAAACTATATACATATGCATAATTTTTGAACATTTTTAAATAATTTTTCTTTGAATAAACAAAAATAAACGAACAAAAAAGGCACGAGTTTTCTCTTAATGTAAAATTTAGTTAATTCAGTTCAATTAAGTGTATGTTATTATTCCACGCCATGTTATAAATAAGTCGATATTATTCTGCAGATTTACGTAATTTTGAATTACTTTTAACTGATCGAATTATAGGACGTAATAAAGATTATGTTTTTACTTTTTTTTTTTTTTTTTTGTTTCGTATAAATGAAGTAAATTAATATATAAAATGAACGTAATAAAAATAATAGCAAATCCGTCAATAGTATTCCGTTTAATTTGTGCTTGTCATTTTGATTTTTCTTATTGAATTTCTAATGGACATAATATATGTATATATATACTATTCTTTCATTTTGTAAAATAATAACGATTATTCTTTAGTGTTAATGCCTTAAAATATTCTCACGGTGCTCGATAATGCGTACTTTCCCCGATTTTTATAATACGCCAATTATTCGAATCGGCTAACAAATTTTCCATCTTCGGAGATCGGTTATCACCGTAAGTATCTAATTAGCGAACCATTAATTTCTAAGATGCTGAATTATATTTGAATTTGACTTTGCTTGTTTATAGTTCGTTTATTAATCCGTGTAATGAACACGATTTTATTCTACAGTAAAATACAAATATATTGATAAAATAAATACATGTTGCTAAATGAAATTCGAGATTATTCGAAGTGTTTTCGATATGCTTACAAAACTATTAGTTTTATCGGACATTCACGTGTGAAAGTTTAGTAGTGCACCTACTGGTTACTGCTAACGTGCGAACAGACGGCGGACGAGGGGATGGGAAGTATATACTTTAAAAAGACAAATTCCCGACGCTAATTCTATTTATATATATATATATGTGTATAATTTAAGCCCCGTTAAAGTTACTTTTGTGAGTCCGTAGTGTAGTATTTAAAACACCGTATTTCCGGTAAAAACGTGAAATTTCAGCAAAAAGACGTTCAAAAGTTAAAGCCCTCAAAAATACATTCTTGATATTAACGCATATTATGTACAACATGCTATCTCCCTTTCTTCTTATATGGATGTCTGCAAGAGTGTAGAAAGCTACGAAACACCCTTCACAGTGGCACAACCAGGTTTTTTTTAAAGGGGATTGTCACATGTCTACACTAAAAAAAACATGTTTCTAAATATATTCATATTACTGAAACACGGATGCAGAGGGGTGTCCAGACACCCAAAACACTCCACTTTTGTGCCACTGACCCTTCGCATACAACATGGTCAAATTCCTATTGAAATCCGACCTCACCTAACTTATCACTACAATCTGTCTATAGAAAAATAAATAAAAAATCTCTAATTCCTGGGCTTAAGCTATTTTGTTCCAGAGGAAGCCACTAAAAGTTTCCGAAAGTAATAAAAAAAAGGTATATACAAAACAATGGAATAATCATTATTTTCTAGGAAAATTCGACAAAAAAATAAGGCGTGAAGCTATTAGCTTCGTTACTTTTGTACAATTAAAGTCAGTTACATGGATATGACTAAACCAATCAATTGTTTTAGGTATGTCTTTGGGTCACAACCGCATTTGCGTCATGCAGCACGAAATCTAGAGTGCACTACGTGCGGGCCTCCGAAAAGGTGCGCGGTGGTGACTCGTACTACTTTCCGGAGCGGTTTCAGTCGCGGGCTTCGTCCATGTTCGGGCCTTCCAGTCAACAGACAGCGGCGGCTGGATTCCCGTACCGATTTGTATTCCCGATTAACCATCCGGCACTGAGCGGATCCATGTACTCGCAGTACCTACAGAATCCACATCAGACTGAATCGTTATACTCGGCCGAAGATTTTTACTCGACGCCATTGTCTAAACAACATCCGCTGTCCGAACACAAACATCATCAGCAACAGCAACAGCAACAACATCAGCAACAACAGCAACACCAGCAGCAGCAGCAGCAGCAGCAGCAGCAGCAACTTGGCTATGAGTCGGTTGGAAAATTACAGTACGAATTCCTCGGCGGTGGCGGTGGTGGAGGCGGAGGCGGAAAACACCATATGCAGTCCCAACAGTATCATCTGGTCAAACAACCGAAACACTATCAGAGCTACGAGCTGGCGACAAATCCGGCCACAACCGTGCACCAGTCACACTATCCGTTAACGGCCACCACGACAGTCGCTCAGCCCATCATGCTGCTCATACCGTCGTCCGGGCAGCCCGGAGCGCCGTACCAGACCCTGGTGCTGGTTCCGTCAGCCGCCCCCGCATCTCCAACCCCCGTCTTTCCCGGGTTTCACCAGCAGATCCAACAACTGCAGGCACCGCCGCAGTTTATCACGCCCGGTTTCGTCACGCACCCCCGAGGCGCTCCGCTGGTCGCTGGGTTCCCGTCCGGTCTCGGAGGCAGCAGCGGTGGCGGAGGTGCCGGACTGGGCAAGTACCCCGGGGCTCAGCTCTTCCATCGGTCACACGAGTCACACCAGCAGCAGCGTGTGCACCACCAACCGTACAAGTCGTCGTCACCATTGTCGCCGTTGTCTTCGTTATCGTCATCGCCGTCTTCGTCGCCCACGTCATACCAAGGTTCCGGGTCGGCACACGTGCCGCACACCACGGCTGTCGGAGAGGCGGTGCAACAACCGCTAGAGGACAAGGTTAGCCACGGTTCGGGTTTGTCCGGAGAAAACTCGGACGACCGTGTCGATAATAGCGCCGAAACGAAACGTGAAGAAAAATCGTCCGAGTTCGGCGAGAAGACCGGTACAAAAACTCCTAAACGAATCGTTGTCACGTAATTTGTACATTTTTAATTAATGATTTTCACGTGAAATTCCTCGGTGTATTTTTTTTCTGATACGTACACTGACTTACATTTAAAATTGACATGAATAGTTTTACTTACTGAAGTTTTAATTTCGTTTTTCACCGTTCACCGTTATACGTTCTGAACGAAAACAATAACAATACATCGGACACTGGAATAAATTTCGGTACAATTGACGAGCAAATAATTGAAGACTCAGACGGTTTACCAAAATGCACGTCGAACCATATAGTATTCGCCGATTGGAAAAACGCTGAAGAACCTCAAACATAATATATAACAGCTATAGTGTATCTACTTAAACAAATTATAATGTTAACGAAGTTTTAGTTTTTATTGTTTAATTAATTAAACAATAAATAATTAATAATTATTTCGTACCTATAACGCATTCAAATTGTATACGTTTATTGTTTAATATTATTTATTTGTTTAACTTTAAGATGTAAATAATGTTCAGCGTATTGAAATAGTTACCTTATGTTAATTTTTAATCGACAGTTTGTTTACATTCAATTTATGTGTACACTCGACACTGTTCAATAAACTGAACGTTTACTATGAAAGCATAGTAGTAATTATTGTATTGTTGTATTGTTTAATGTGAAAAAAAAAATACTATTATATTATTTTATATTAATATAGCATAGACTTAGTAGACGGGAATACTAAAAATTTCTTCGCTCAAATAGATAATATTTTTAATAACAGCGGCGTACGTGTGTGATGAATTGACTGAAGTTGATCTAAAAAAGTGTTTCGAATCGTATTCGCTGTGAAAATGGTTTTTTTTTTTTATCATCACTCTTAAAATAATATAATTTTTTTCAGTTCCGTCTATCTTATATGAAAAAGCGATGCGTTAGTCCTGTTGTTTATTATAGCCGATGAATTTAGACGGCAGATTTCGCTTTCATCGATCAGTTTTTAGAGACCATCGTGCGTTTCTTCGATTATCCATGGCCTGGCTTGTCGTCGGTTTTTTTTTTTTATCGTTTATTTTCTCTGTAATAAAATAAATATGGAAGGTCACCTGGGCCAAAACAAATAATTAAAACCACTTCGGAAGTGCAGACATAGTGTGCTCACAAGTAGGATTATATTTTATTATCAAGAAAGCAGCAAAAAAAAAAAAAAATTAAAATACCACACTAATCCGTCTACAAAGCGGGTAAAAAAAAAAACAACTTTTATTTAAAAAAACAGATTAGGTATAAAAATACGAGACTTCAAGCTATTAACTATCACTTGTTATTTTAATATTCTTCTTTGCATAGATATTTATTCGTTTTTATGAACGCAATTTATTATCGGACATAAAATTATCAACATACATGGGCATTGCAATAATATGTATTCAAAATTGGTATTTTTTTCTGCCTTTGCTGTAACCTTATCCAACGCACTCTCGCAATAGTTCATTGAAGTTCAACCATTAAACATTTGTTATAGTCGGTGTGTATAAATTATATTGCTAATTACGAATTAATGAATACAAATCAGCGGTTTCCAATTGGTGTCCACGGCGCTTTCGACTTTTTTTTTACTTCAAAATTAAAAATAAGAAATTTAACGTAGTGGTAGATCACACACTTAGACTTAATACCGTATATTCAACCGGTGTCTTCTTATTCGGTTATACACATAAAACATGCGTCGTATTAGGAACAGTATCCATGCGAAAATTTCAAAACTTTTTATGGATAGCCAAGCTCAAAAATTATATTACGTTATTATAAATTATAATTGAGAACTCTTCGAAATAGTTTGTAAAGAGTGACCCTTGTTGGTGGAAAAAAAAATCCCCAAATATCGAGGTAGTAAAAAAGTTGTTAAAAGTTGTTTAAATTATTCATACTTTAAAAAATGTTGCGAAACATTAATATAAATTATATTTGGAATACAAATTATACAAATTTCAAGTTATGAAATTATTAAAACAGGTCTAAGTGAAGAGAAAAAGTGTACATTAATAAAAAAAAGAGTTGATGCTACTAATGGGTGTACTGAAAAAAGAAAATTAATATTCATAATGACGAAGTTAAAAATAAATTTTACCAAGGAGTCCCTTTGGTAGAATGTATTTCGATTCATGATCTGTAATTAATATTTAAATTATTAAGTGAACAACACGCATTAAAAAATCATTCGTCGGATTCATAATAAATACTCTTATTTATTTAATATACTCACGGTAGGTCCTTTTGTCCCCAAACAGAGAGCTCCAAGCACTGAAACGTGAAATGTTTCTGTTGCTATATTACAAAGTTAACAAAAATTAGTGACGAGGCTCCTTAAAAATCGTCTGTATTGACGAATCTAATTTTGTACAGTAAAATCGTTTACAATGTCTACGATGTAAAAAAAGAAAAATGATTTACGAAAAATCATCTTCACTGAAAATAAATTGCATACATTTAAGCTTCGTTGACACGGTGACATTAATGTCATAGGATTAAGTTTCACAATATCAGAGTATCAGCTTTCTATAGATTATACCAATATTTAAAATGTTTGATATGTGTTACCATGTGTTATCCAAAAGTCGCGGCACTAAGTGTCTTGTTGTAGTGTCATTGAGTAAATGAAGCTTTAACACAATTTAACAAAAATCAATTTATAAATGACTGATAAGCAACTTTTAATACAAAGAGGTTAAACTACTTATATTTAAGGGGCATACGTATAGGCAAAATGAGGTTTTTAAAGCAATATAAACGTATAGGCTCAAAAATATTCAAATTCACTTTCATATAGGTTAATTTTAAAATGATCTATGTGTCTTGTTGCAAGTATCTATTGGGTAATAATTTAATGGAATATTTTAACATTTTTCTTAAATTAGGTAAATAAAAAATTGAAAATGTTTAAAAACCCTCTCAAATATTATTATAGGCAACAAAATAAACATCTTATCAACATAAGTGTCTGGTTTTATATTTACTTCTATGTACCTATTATAATACAATAATGTATTCTAATAATTTATTAATATGAATAAAATTAATTACACTTGTATACTTGTATAAATGATTGTTCACAAAATTATTAAGTTAAATTAGTTTGAATTTAAATTAAAATTAAGACTAAGATATTTATTAAATATTGCATAATTTTCTTATTAATCTTTTTCTGAATCATAATAAATATCTGACTGGGTTGGTTGATTTAGATCTACTGTTGTGGTATTTTTTATATTTGAGTGAATATGAAACGAAACTAAAGGCAATAGATTAAAGTTGTTTAAATATAATACAAAGGCGATAAAAAAAAAATAAAAAAACTTTTAGTTTAAATCTTCAAAATCCGAGGGGACGCTTTAGTTATTGACACTGAGACATTTAAATAACGTTTAAAAAACTCAAATTAGTTTTATTAAAAATAAATTCTTTAATGCCTATAACAGATCGTATTATTGTTGAGCAAGTATGCGTAGTATAGTATTTAAAAGGTTGAGGATGCAGTTTATTTTTAAACGCAATTAGTATTGGTAAAAATTTTAAGAACAAGTGTGTTTAGGAGAAAAACATTTTTTGAAGGCTTGTTTTCGTGATGGATTTCCTGAAAGTTTGATTAGATTTAGTTATTTATCAGAAACATCCCTTTATTCGCAGTAAACATAGTCCTTCTTCGAAGTTTTTACACAATTTAACCATTGATATTGAAATAATTGTTTTATTACGGAATTTTTGGTTTGGAAACTAATTATATCGTTCATTTAACTAATATTGAACTTTTAAACAAAATTACTGATTAGAATCAAGTGTGATTAATATGCGTGTGCTTATACGCTATCAGAATATTATGCACGTATAACCGAAAATGTTGATAGGTAGTAATTAAGACTAACAGCATTATGACTGGTTTCTATATTACGACCAAATGGCTTGAACATTTAAATGTTCATTAAAGTTTAGGGAGTTAGTGTTGAACATTGAAAGCAAGAACAATTTGTGGTGAAAATCAATTTTAATTTGAGCTCATTGTATCTTCGTTGAAATTCGATCTTATCATTATTTTGTTAAAAATTATTTATTTCACGATTGTCGTTAGTTTTTTTTTGTGAAACTATTGAGTATTTATTGTGGCTATAAATTTATAATTTAAATAAGCTTGAGATAATACATGTTATTATAACGGTTGCTATGTGAAATTACGAAATATATATTTAGTCTGTTGTATTTAGGTACTTATTTTTTGTTTGAATCGACAGCAGTGGAGGATCTGTTACTACCCCATTCCTGCCAATGGTGACGGGATACCTACAACTGTAAATCACTTACATTTCGAATATTTTAAATGTATGTAATTGTGTGTAAAATATATTTTAGGACCTTATCACGCGTGCAGTGCTAATAAACGGCTACAAGCGTGTGCGAAGGATTAAATATCAACATTTTCGTGTTCGGTTAATAATAGATACTTTCTAATAGTCCATAAGTAAACATCGGTTTTCTTGTATGCCAAAAAAATAGCGTTGCGTTTAAAATATCATCGAAAAATTTATCCTTCACGGCCGTCCGTTGCTCGGGTGAAATTACGATCGTGTGCTAAAAAACCAGACTGGAATCTGACTAAACGCGTGCAAGTGTTTGTAGACTGGATTTTGTCGGAAAACTACTTTCACTGAACCGTGGTGACATACGGTACAATACAATGCGGACGACCCGGACCAGTTTTTCGACTTCCTGTGGTCAACTGGTCGTTTATACCATAAAGTGGAAAGCACACCCGGATAAGCTCCTACGTAGTGTATAATGTAGTTACATCATCGATTTTTTTTTTTTTTTGCTGAAAATAGAAACCGCTTAAACGCTTATCGATTATATTTTTATACACTACAGTGACGAGGACACTGGCCCAAGAAACGAAATTAGTCAGTTAGTTTAACAAGTATACACTATATTTACAAAATAAATAAACAATTGTGAACAATTAATGCGTATTATAACCGTGTGCTCATACAGTCTTATATAATATTATAACGTTGTTCTTCCTCAATATTTCCAAATATGTACTGTTTTGGCAAAACATGGGAGAAATATAAACTAACTATTATTACATAAATCGTAACGATCCCCTTATAATTAAAAAAAAGAAGAGAGCTGATACTGGGGATGGAAGCGGCCTTTGTTGTAAGTGAAAAGTTGGAAAGGCAGGATACATAAGGTTATAGCATTTATATCTGTAATCAACGATAAACCATTGTTTGTCGAAAGACGATTCTGAGCGCAGTTCAGTAATAGATAATTTGAAGTGCCGTATTTTTTTTTTGTAATTTTTCTTTAAATTTGATTTCAAAACGCTTATTAAAAAAAAAGAAGTTTTCCGATCATTTTGGACAGTTTATCACGTCTAGGTAAGTTCAATTTAGATATTATCAATAAGTTTCAAGTCTCTGCATGCATTTATAACCGAATTACATACAAAAAACTCCCAAAAATTAAAATTCCTTAAAAGTTCAAAAGTGAATCAAAAGTTTTGGCGATGAAACCATAA